ACAACATCTAGAAGATATAAACATTTGACACACCCCATTGGCTAAGTGAGGGGCATCAAAGCAACCAAGGGAAACAAAGGGTCACAAGACCAGTCAAGAGAAGGAACACATCAAGCTCAGGGTGGATCACGAAGTCACTACGCTGTCTGAGCACAAGCAAAGGGCCACAAGGCCAGTTCAAGAGTTCACAAATATGTATAGATGCAGGAACAAGCAGAGCAAGCAACAAGAAGCAAGTTTACAGTAACTGAACACCAGCGTCAACAAGCCCTAGCTGCACACAGAACCTGTGGTGGTCACCAGGCGCCAAGGCCTTGGAGAAGACGTCGGCAGTGTTGGCCTCTGAGGCCACAAAGTCCAAGCGTGCCTGGCCGCGTCGCTGCAACTCTCGCCGGAGAAAGTACCTCATGTTAATGTGTTTCACTCTACTCTCCAGTCGAGGCTCCCGGCACAGGAGGATCATGGCCTTGTTGTCAGCAAACAAGGTCGGTGCATATCGAGGCCGCTCACCAAGGTCGGTGAGCAAGAAGGTCAACCAGCGAAGCTCCTGCGCAGCCATGGCACCAGCGTAGATCTCTGCCTCTGCACTGGACGAAGCCACAGACGACGACCATGTAGACCTCCACAACACAGTCCAACACCCAGACTGAAGCAGTAACCCTGAGTCGAGCGCTGACTCTCCACGACGTCGGCGTAGGAAGAGTCATAGTGGCCGGTCAACACAACTGGCCCTGTCCCTCACAGCACAAGCCCCATGCCTGATGTAGTCGCCAGGTACTTCGCCACCCTCACAGCAGCTGTCCAATGAACAGGACGGTGTCTCCCAGTCGCAACAAAGCGAGAGAGGACGCTGAGGGGAAAGGCGAGGTCCGGTCGAGTACAAGTCATCAGGTACATGAGGCAGCCCACAAGCTCTGCGTAGGGACCACTAGACTCAAAGGGCTCGTCGGGAAAAGGGCCAGTGAGTCTGTGGTCAACGGCAAGAGGAGTGGGCTGTGTGGTGGAGAACTGAAACCCGAACCGCCGAAGGATTTGCTGCACCATGTGTGACTGAGTCAGTGTGATGGTGAGAGCGGCTCTGCCCCTGGTGATCTGCAGGTCAAGGTAACACTGCAGTGCATCGAGGTCAGTGCACGTGTGTCTCTTCTGCTGTTCGGATTTCACCTCAGCCAGAGCTGCCATGTCTGCTGTAGCAAAGACAAGGTCGTCGACGTAGATCAGTATAAAGAAAGGAGTGGAGCCAGCACGAACAAACAGCGACAGGTCGGCAGAAGAAGGACGAAACCCAAGGTCACGAAGCGTGGAGCGAAGAGTGTCGTGCCACTCGCGGGGCGACTGGCGGAGACCGTAGACTGGTCGCCTCAGGCTCCACTGGGTTCCAGGTGGGAAGGTGTCAGTGAAGCCAGGAGGACGTCGCAGCCAGATCTCCTCGTGTAGGCGGCCCTGGAGAAATGCAGTGGAGAAGTCGAGAGAGTGCAGCTCGTAGTCTCGCTGTGCAACTACGTGAAGTAACACCCGAAGAGTCGTCATCTTCGGGGTCGGGGCGAAGGTCTGGAAGAAGTCAACCCCCTCACGCTGACTGAAGCCCCTAGCCACGTAGCGCGCCTTGAACACAGGCGGTGATCCCGGCGGCCGCTTCACCTTGAAGAGCCGCATGCCATCGACAACGTTCGCCCTGGGAAGGGGAACTGCTTCGATGTAGGTGCCTGTGGATCTCCAAGAAGCCAACTCTGAGTCCATGGCCGCTTTCCACTGCGAGGCCCACTCCCCTGACACTGCCTCACGGTACGTGCGAGGAGTCGGTATGTCAAGGGCGTCGGGGTCTCCCTCAGGGGAAAGCGGCATGGCACAAAGAGAGGGAGAAGCGGCTGCCAAGAACTCCAGCTCAAACTGCCTGTCCTCTAGGACGTCACAACCAAGGGCAGACTCACCCCCTACGAACAGAGGACGGGCAGCCACCACACGCGTGTCGTAGTCAAGGCGGCGGGTGGTAGTAAAGTCACCGACAGCGGCAGTAAGAGCCGAGTTACACGACGGAGAGGCACGAGGGTCAGTGACAAGAGAGGCGAGGACACGAGAGACAACAGGGCGAGCTGCACGGTAGTAGTCAGAGATAGGAGTAGAGGCAGTGAGAGAAGACTCAGGAGGTGACGGGAGAACAGACGCTGGCGGAGAACGGCAACGACTAGAACAAAAGAGGGCAGTACGGAGTTTGTCAGTGGGAGATGAGGGACGAGCACGCGGAGGACAGGGACGGACACGATAGTGCAGGACAACGGGAGGAGGAGACGGGGACCGAGGAGGAGGAGGAACAGCGGGTAACGCGTCCGAAGGAGGAAACGTAGGACCGACGGCAGGGGGAGACTGGGAGCGGACAGGAGAAGAGGAGGGAAGACCAAGGGTCCGAAGGCCACTCACAGCTGGGAACAACTGCCGCACAAGAGGCAGCTGCGGCGGCTGCTGCTGCAGCTGCTGGTGCTGCTGCTGCTGCTGCTGCTGCTGCTGCTGCTGCTCCTCCTCCTCCTCCTCCTGCTACTCCTGCAAGTCCAGTTGCTGCAGCTCCCGCCTCTCCTGCTCCAACCGCTCCTGCTCCTCACGCTCACGGCGGCGAGCCGCCTGGAGACGTGTGTCGTGGCGGTGGGGTGGCGCAGTAGTAGTACATCCAGCGCCAGTCTCCTCAGAACTAGCACCGCCAGCTCCTGCACCGCCAAAACTAGCACTTTCAGTGCCAGCACCTCCAGCTCCAGCACCCCCAGAACTAGCACCACTGGTGCCAACACCTCCAGCTCCAGCACCCCCCGAACTGGCTCCGCCAGTGCCAGCACCTCCAGCTCCAGCACCCCTCAAAATAGCACCCCCGGACCGAGCACCTCTAGTGGCAGCACCTCCAGCTCCAGCACCCCCTGAGTCCACAGTAACCTATCACGGAAGTGCTGAAGGCTGCTGAGGGGACTGTGAGGAGGACTGCGGGGAGGGAGACGCTACCTGACGCGCGACCGAGGGGGGACACACCTGACGGGGCACGACCAGGGGGGGGCGGGGGTACCGGAGGAGCGGGAGCAGGAGGAGGAGAGGGCGCGAGGAAAAGAGGAGGAGGGGGGACCGGGAGACCTCGACAGGGGTACCGGGTGTAGTAGGACACGGACTCGTCAAACCGGACGTCCGGGGAGTCGAGGCAATGGTGGAGGGGCGGGTGGTAAAACGAAATGTCAGGAGAGTCCACTGGGAAACCAAGGAAGACACAGCGGATGGCGCGAGGCGAGAGCTTATCCATAGAGGTGTCGCAGACAAGCGCTTGGCAGCCCCAGACGTGAAACTCCAACGCAACACCAGGGGACCCGGTCCAAAGACTGGTCGGTGAATCCCCTGGTCGTGAGACACGAGGCCAGAGGTTCAGCTGGTGGGCGGCGTAGCGAACCACGTAGGGCCACAGAAAATGGGGCGCACGGGCATGGATCATGGAGGTGCGGGCGATCTCCATGACCAAGCCAATGCGGCGCTCGGCAACCCCATTCTGCTGTGGGGTCTCCGGAAGCGTCCAGGACTGTGTGATGCCCTGCTCGCCATAGAACCCGGCAAGCACGCCGGAGCGGAACTCACCCCCACGGTCGGGGTGGAGACAGCGGACACTACTGCCACCAGTGCCCTCCGTGGCCAGGAGCTACCGGATCAGCGTAGAAGTCACCTCAGACTTCTTCGCAAGAGGAATCACCGTGGTGTACCTGGAGTAGTCATCAACAACCACTAAAAATAAGTGCTCCCGCTCGGGCCCAGCACGAGGGCCTGGGCCCCAGACGTCCAAGTGGAGGGTCCGGAAGGGAGCGGTGGCCGGACGAAGGGAGGAGGAGTGAGGAGTGGCGCGCGGCCAACCCTCGACGCAAGGAGTGCAGGGCGGCGCAGGCGAACGAGGGAGCGACTCAAAAACACGCGGGAGACCTGAGACAAGACGCTGGCTAGCCATGCTGCGGAGGCGTGGGAGGGACGGGTGACCAAGACGGTGGTGCCACAAGACTGTCGGGTGAGAGAGTGAACTGCAAGAGCAAGATGCAGCAACCAGACCGGACACAGCCACCTGACCGGACACCGCAACCTGACTGGACACAGCAACCTGAGGGGACGCAAGGACCTGGGAGCGCTCAGTGTGCAGAACGTAGAGACCGGAGCGAGGCTCCCTGGTGAACGTAGCAAGAACGACACCGGTGGCAGCACCCGTGCAGACCGCAGTCCTCCCGCCCCCAAAAAGGTAACTGTGATCCCTCTATCCTGGAGGTATCCAACACCCACCAAGTTCCGAGTGAACGAGGGGATGTGGAGACCTCGAAGGACACCAGAAGGTACCACAGAGCACGGGAGGGTGGTGGAGCTGCGCGCAACGACTGGTCCTGAGGTAGGATCAGCCAGAGCTACCGGAATAGGAGTAACGAGTGGTGTGAGAGTCGTGTGGTCGCGGAAGAAGCACTGGGACGCGCCAGAGTCCAGCGTGCAGGACAGGGACGCCTCAGCAGGAGGTGCACCTGGTCTGGTAGCTACACAAGCACCTAGGGCGCGCACGGTAGAGGTCGTCGAGGCGGCGGAAGCACCGCGCTGCAGAGTGGTCGTCGCGCCCGCAGACACTGGGACTGCCCGGTCCCTTGAGGATCCAGTAGTCGCAGGGGCCGGAGTCGCGCCCAGGGGGGCGGGGGCCCCAGCTGGCAGTGCTGCCGCTGCGGCCAGTGCTCGTGACTAAACGGGGCCCGCGGAGGCCTGTTAAACGCCACTAAACGGCGCCCGCGGGGGCCTGTTAATCGCGGCTAAACGGGGCCCACGGGCGTTGCGTGCAGTGGTGCACTACTGCAGTTGTTGCGACGGCCTGCCTAAGCGCGACGGCCTGCCTAAGCGCGTGGGGAAAAATGAGGGCCCGCGGGGAGGGTGGAGGGCCTTGAACGCGACTAAACGAGGCTCGCGGGCGCCGTCCTACGCGTGACGAAGCGGAGCCTAAGGGACGGGCGCCTCGGGAGCATCTAAGGGAGGGAGGGGAAGCGTGGGAGGTAGGAATAGTTACCTACTCTAATACCATCATTAGCTAGGAAGTGTCGAGAAAATTGTGTTGAGTGAGCAAAAACAAGGAGATACAAGTGTCGACCTAGAGAGTGTTGTACCCTTTAGAGGGCAACTCACTGTAGCCTAGAATAACTAACAACATCTAGAAGTTATAAACATTTGACATGTATCCCCTCTCAGCAGGAAATCATGTTACGGTACTTGCATCCGATAAGATTCATTGTGGTACGTCATTGTATCAGACTCAGTTAATTACCCCACCCGCACCATCCTCCATTTGAAATCTAGCATGTATTGCATCAAGCACCTGAGCCACACTCGTAACATTAGCCACCACAGTGGACGAACAATTGCCCTGACTGAAAACGAGATGGTACTGCAGTGAGCAAGCGGAGGCGAGACCGTTATAGACAGGCACGGGGCATCCCTGGGGGCGAATTTCCAGCAGGGAAGCCTTTTCCGGCATGAAGATCATGTTGGTGAGTGCGGCTCCGTGGCCCGCTGTGTAGAGGCGTGCTCGCATGAGGAGCGCACGAGCTGAGGGGAGAGGGGTGGGGTAAGGGGGGTTGGAGGTGAGAGGGGACGTTGGAGGGAGAAGAGGATGGAATGGAAGTGGAACAGAGGGGTGGAAGGAGATAGGGATGACCATTGCATTGGTGAGACCAGCTCCATGGCCTGATGTGCAGAATTCTGTTATCGAAGCGCCTGAATGCACAGTCTGGTTTGCAGAATCAAGTCTACAAAAAGAGCTGTAATGGGTGGAGAGAGTATTGAGAATAATTGGTTCTTGGGAATTGTTGAGAAACCGGTAACGTTCATGAGGGCGAACGCGCCCATAGCCTGCTATCTATGTGGGATTTTGTTTTACGGCGCTTGGAAATCATGGTCTGCTGTGTGGTGGAGTCGTGTCTGCAAAAAAAGGTCTCAAGCTGGGAGAGTAATGAGACGAATGAAAAAAGAGGAAAAAAAGGGTGTGGATGCGGCACAGAGGACTCAAGGTATGGAAGTCAGCATGTCGATTGTGGGTGGCAACCTGGGTTGAGATTCGGGGTAAGAAGCTTCAAATGATTCTAAAAAAGCAACCCAAAAAACGGAGCGACAGACAAGTAGCAACCAACCAACCACACACATCATCCTTTTAAATATATATAATATTATATACACATATAAATGCATATGCGGTTTGAAGAACTGTTCATGACATGCCTGATGACATAGATATAAAATTACACATATTCATATGCACATAGATGTATATAAGGATAACTATTTAGACCCCGCACACCCCTCACCTTGCAGAATCGGCAGTGACCCATCAAACAGCACCACTCTATCGCGCCCAAACCGCCTCACAACCTCCTCCTCCACCTCTTCAAAATTCTCCAACGCTCGTCGGCCCTTGGGCCGCTTCACCAGCACGACCACCCAGTCGGAGGGGAAGGAGCGAGCCTCGTGGGCGGAGAGAGGGCGGTGGTTGCCAAGCGTCCAGTCGAGGTTGAAGAGAGGGATGCCGGAGGGGTGCAGCAGATGGCGGCGCCGCAGCGACTGCCAGATGGACCGGCTGGGGTGGTGGCAGTTCTGGTAGATGGGCTGGGGGAGGGAGGGAGTGGGGGAGGAGTGATAGGGGAAATGGTATGGTCAGAATCCTGATGCATGGGCTGGAGAAGCAGGGAGGAGCCAAGTAAGGATGGGAACTAGAACTCGGTTCAATGGATAGTATAATTTAAACGGAAAATATAACTCAATTCAACCCTTCCAGCGTGCCGCCACAATCGTATCCATTAATCTGATAAGGCATGCCCCTTAAAACACATGGCATACTTACAATGGATACATGACATCCATGAGTTCAATACTAGATTCATAGTCTGTTAATTCGTCAGCAGTGACATACACCGTTAAATGGCCATGACTTGTGCGGTACACACTTCTCTGATAGTCATATTTATTGGACACATTGCTAAGAAGGTTGTCGTTGTATAGGTTACAGAATTCTGATGATACCATCACCCAGAAGTAGTCACACACTTACCGAATTAGAAGACCTGGTCAATAAACTAAAAAAAAAAAAAAAAAAAAAAAAAAAAAAACACACACACACACACAAAAACTGGCTCACCACGTATGCATGGCATAGCATGCGTGCTTAGCCTTGTATGTCACGTCGGCGTGCATGTATGCACATGTGCGGAGAGGCTTGGACATGAAATGCATGCATGCATGGTGTACCTGGTACACCACATCCGCATGAAACAGGTCGTTGCCGAACGTGGGAAGTAGGCGCATCTGATCGGGTGGGATGCCTATGAGTGGTGCTCCCAGTTGCTTGTACATTCGCACCTGTGGGGAGAGGCATGTACATGCCATGGCATCAGATGGGCATAAGATGAGAATGATTTGTTTGTCTACTCGATGTCTACTTATGAGTGACGCACCCACCTGCTTGTGCATAAACACTTATGTGAGGAGGCATGGACATGAAATGGCATAAGGTGGGAATGAGATGGGAATGAGATGGGAATGAGATGGGAATGAGGTGGGAATGAGATAGGACGAGATGGGAATGGGCTGCTGTGGGTCATTCAGACGCAGCATGATCCAAACCCACCTGGCCATGCCTGGCGAGCACAGGCAGGTGAGCAGCGTGCAAAATTCTAACATGTGCAGCAGCGTGCAGCTTGGAACAAACAAACCCCACCAGGCCACCCGAGGCATGAGACTTGTCACTGTGAGTTATTTCACAGTTGTTTTTTTTAGGCGCCTCAGAAATAGACTACCCACCTGGCCAACCAACGTGGCATGAGGCTTGCACTGTGAGTTCGTTCACAGTTGAGAATCCATAGAAAGGGCATGTGCTTGAATGAGCATTCGTGACGACTAGAGGAGCTTCTGTATAACCCACCTGGCCGCGTCTGACAAGCACAGGCAGGTCTCGCAGCGGGGAGGGAGGGCATGAGGGGCGCAGCAAGGATAGCTTAGTCGGCGCAAAACCAAACCCCACCTGGCCGCTTCTGACGAGCACAGGCAGGTCCCGCAAGGGGGACGGCATGAGGGGCGCGGCGATGAGGAAGAGCGGAAAGACTTCAATGAGGAAGTGGTAGAAGTTGCTGCCGGATTGGTGCGCCCAGTTGAACACTGCTGGCAGCTCGTGCACCATGTGGCCCGCATCGTACGTGGCCTGGTGAGAGGGAAGGGAAAGAAGTGCAGAGCACAACACACTAATTGTGGGGCCCACAGAATTGGCAGCTTGTGAACCATGTGGCCCGCATCGTACGTGGCCTGGTGGTGGAAGGGAAGGGAAGGGAAGGGAAGGGAAGGGAAGGGAAGGGAGGGGAAGGGAAGGGAGTGCGTGATGCACATGGAACGAGTCTAACTGCACTGATTTCAACACAGCCGGAGCTGGATTGAGCACTGCTAGAGGTTGGTCGTATGCAATGTGTATGAGAGCACATGAGCACACGAGCATGTGAGCGCACTGGCATGTGAGTACATGAAAGCGCGTGAGTTAGAAAAGAAGCACATGAGCTGAGCACACATGAGCACACATGAGCACACACGAGCACACATGAGCACACATGAGCACACATGAGCACACACAAGCACACACGAGCACACGCACGTGCATACGCACGGGCACAAACGCGTGCGCACACAGGCACACACACGGGCAGGTGCGCGCGCACACACACACACAAGGGCACACACAGAGGCACACACACAGGGACACACGCGGGCACGCGAGTACAAACTCACATCCCTGTCTCTCCTCACATATCCCTAACACATCCCTCCCTTCACTTCTCATCACACATTTCTCCCTCGCTCCATACATCTCCCTCTTCACGCAATGCTCTCTCTGCAAAGCTCTCTCACTGCGCTCAGGAAACACGCACACCCCTTCTTTGAGTCAACTCACAGATTCTCTCACTGCGCTCACGAAGCTTGCACACCCAGTCCTCACTGAACACGTGCGTGCAGCTGAGAATAATCCTTGAAACCCTTCTGAGACTAATCCTTGAAACCCTTGAAAAAATCTCTCTCTCTACCCAAAACCCCTCCCTCCGCACACCTCTCACTGCGCTTCGGAAGCGTGCGTGATGCCAAGATTTATTTTCTCTAACCAACCCTCCCTTCGCACACCTCTCTCTCACCGTTCCTGGGAAGCGCGGGCATCCGTTACTGACGAACAGGTGCGTGCGGTTGAGAGTATACCCGCCGTCACTCACTAACACGTCCTCCAGCCGCATCATCTGCAGCGCGTACGCCCCGTGCCGCCCCATGTCCTGCTTGTGCGAGCATGTCTCATCAAACGCCACCTCCTTCTGATTCCTGTCATCACGCCCTGTGCTTAAGGGGGCAGTTTATAGGGGGGATGACTTGGCTCATGGGTGGATCCACGAATTCGGGGTTCCAGCAGGCCTGCACGTTGGGGAAGCGGGCGGTGCATGAGCCGAAGGCGGGGCAGGGCGGGCCGTGGCACCCAAGTTTCACCGCCCATTCTGACTCGCCTGAGCCACTATCGCCTGGGACACTCCCCTGTGAGTCACTCCCCTCTGAGGCACTCTCGTCTGAGTCACTCTCTATTGAAGCACTGTCAACGGACGTGCGTGACACGCTTCCTATATGATGATCGCCGCTAGAACTGGTCTCGGAGTTGTCCGAGGGGACGTTGTCGAAGAAGTGGAGGAAAACGTTGGCCAGGCGAGCCGTTGAGAGAGGGAAGCCCAGGGGACGAGTCACGAGGTTGACTCGCTCGGGGTGGGACCTGGCGTGATAGGGAGGGAAGGGGGGGGTGAAGAACGGATGGAGAGTGAGAGGGGGGGAGAGAGAGAAGGCGTTGGCAGGCGAGCCGTGGAGAAAGGGAAGTTTTTAGTAGCGGCCGTCTCACGAGGCTGACTCGCCCGGGGTGGGACCTGGCGTGGTCGTGCGGGTACGCGGGGGGAAAGGCGGGAGGGCGGGAGGGCGGGAGGGCGAGAGGGCGAGAGGGCGAGAGGGCGAGAGGGCGAGAGGGCGAACTAGTATGAGTGGAGAGAGTGAGTGTAACGCCTGCGGAAGAAGATGTAGGGTGAAAATGGCTACCGCTTTGCGCCTCTGAACACCTGCGGTTTGACCCAGTGGGCGTTACAGTGAGCGTGATAGCCCCAAATGACCTGAAAACCTTCCGCATATACTCACCAAATGGCCTATATCCAATGATCTAACCCCTTCAGACAATGTTGGGGCAAGTGACTGAAAAGGCCAAGCCAAAGTTTTCGGCAAGTATCCGTCCACTCATCCCAACGTTTTTCCCCTTGCAAGATGCTACCCCAATCTTTCCTCTAGGCTGCCCCCCGTCAGGCTGACCTGAATCGCTGGGGCGAGTAATAGCGAGCTGACCCGAAGGAAATCTTCAGATCAGGATTCGTACTGACCTGAATCGCTCTGGCAGGAAATAGTTGAGCTCGCCTTCGAACTTGGCCACTCTGCCCGCGAGATGGAGCCTCGGCGATTCCTGACCGTTGATCGCTGCTGGGAATAATCATGGGGATCGAGGGAAAGGAGTGGAGGGGAAACTGGGTCGCGGGTGCTACAATTAGGATGAAAGTACTAGGGGATTTTGAGGCGGCTCAAAGTGAAAATGGGCTGCGGTTACTGTTATTAGGGTTAGGGTAGCTGAGGCACCTCAAACGTGCAAATGGGCCGCGGTTACTACCATTACTAGGGTGAGAGGACTTCTGAGGCGCCTCAAGAACGAAAATAATCTGCGGCTACTACTACTGGGTGAGGGGACTTTTGAGGCGCCTTAAAGTGAAAGTAGGGTGACGTTACCGCTATTTGGTGAGGGGACTTGAGGCGGCTCAAAAGTGAAAATGGGCTGCTGTTAGGGTGAGGGAACTTTGAGGCGCCTCAGAAGTAAAAATGGGGTGCGGTTACTACTACTATTAGGGTGAGGGGGCTTGAGGCGGCTCAAAAGAGAACGGGGTGCGGTTACCGCTACAGAATGAGGGGCGCCTCAAAGGTGAAAATGGAGGTTATACTACTTTTAGGGTGAGGGGGGAAGAGTGGACGGAGCGCGGGGGCAGCGTCGACGCGTACATGCACTGACGGAAATCGTCAAGACGACGGCGACCAACCACAACAGCCGGCGGCCAGCGCGTGCCACCATCTTTATCAAGATCAGCAGATCCTCAATAGAAGAATGACTGCTGCTACGGGAAGCTGCTAAGAGCAGTATAGAGTGGCTGGAAAAGGGTCACCTTCCGAAAGGTCACCAAGAGTCTCCCCTCAGAGCATTGAGACTTTCGAAGAGTAGATTCGAGAATGTCGCTCGGAGAACAAAGAGAGCGGGCAAGCAAAATGCTTGCCTTTGAGTTGATCGACGTCGCATGGCGGCGCGCATAGCTTTAGATCACTGACTGGCAGAGGAATGCTTGCTGATGATCAGCGATGGTACGCGTTCAGGGCGCACATCAGTCAGGAGGCGCTTCAGGAGATTCACCTGCCCTGCCAGGTGTAAATTAATTCGCCTGACAGCCACACTGGGACTAACAGGAGGGGCTGAGCACTTATTACTACACTGTTGCGAATCTGCGATATTTGAAATGAGAGGCTAAAAACCCTCGTCGGAACCAACTGTGGCTCCTTCGTCACATCACGATCCGCGAATCGAGACATGGGAGAAGTCTTTCCGGGTCGTCCGGTGCTGACTGGGAGAGGAAGGCCTACAGATCAATGGGTGATCTGCCAGTGACATGATAGGGGTCGGCGACAATGCCTTCCGTGGCTGGATGTGTTGTAATCGTAACTTTTAACACAGGGAGCTCAGTCTCTTGAACCCGCCATTTGAAAATCGACAACCAGGGACCGTGGCGAAAATCTCGGATGCGAACTCGACGCGTGGTTGACACACCCAAGGGCGACAGAGGGGCTGGCGCGAGACTTCGCGCGGGGAAAAATCCTTCGCCAGCAGCAATCGTCCATGCGTGTCCTGCAGGAGAAGTAAGACGTAGCTCAGCGAGTTGCGCCAGGCGGTATCTGTTTCACCGTTAGCATTACTAGACTGCACTCTATTGCACATGAATTTCTGTCAGATTTGATGACATACGGTACCACTCATGCAGGCATACCATATATCATCTGTATATCATTGTGAAAGATGTACTTGATCAGCATACAAATGTTTTTCCTCAATCCCACCTTGTGATACTTGCCCAAAATACTCCACCACCAATTTCTTCTTCCTGCCTCCCACACCTCCACTCCTAACCGACCACCCTACCATCCTACCATCCTTGTTCCTCACAGCTGAATTTAGGCCAGCTCGCCTCTGCACTCGGCACATACCCCCCTGCATCACCCACCCCCCACCCCCCTCCCCCAGGCGTGCACACCAGCAGCGTATCCCCCCTCTCCACCCCCACACTCGCCTTCGCCCCCAAATTCACCACCCTCCCATCCCGCGCAATCCGCAGCAGATTCAACCCCCGCGCACCACACCCGCCCCCCGCTCCCCCATTCGGCGCCAAAACTCGTCTCTCAGACAGCATACTGACAGTCGCAGGTCGCAGGAACTCCAACTCCCGCTCCACCCCATGCCCGCCCCGCCTCTCCCCACTCCCACCGCTCCCCTGTCGCAGCCGGAACCTTCTCAGAAGCACCGGGTAGCGCCGCTCTAGCACCTCAGGGTCGGTGATTCTGGTGTTGGTCATATGGCTCTGCACCCCGTCTTCTCCCTGCCATGTCGGCCCCGCCCCCACCCCGCCCGCAATCGTCTCATAGTACCCAAAAGTGCCGTCGCCAAACGTGAGGTTGTTCATACACCCCTGCGAGTTCGCTGCCGCATCAAACGTGGACAGAATAATATCCGTCACCCGCTGCGACGTCAGCACATTGCCGCCCACAACAGCAGCGGTGTCGCTAGGCGAGAGCAGCGAGTGCAGCGGGAGGGTAATCCTTACAGGCGCCAGGCACCCCTGGTTGAGGGGAATATCCGAGTCTACCAAGCAGCGCAAGCAGTAGATGATAGCAGCGGTGGTGACGGCTGTAGGGGCGTTCCAGTTACCGTACACCTCGGGACTGGTGCCTGTGAAGTCGAAGTGGGCTGAGCCAGAGGCCGGGTGGATGGAGATGCGGAGTCGGATCAAGGAGCCGTCGTCCATGCGGTCCTCTCCCTGCAGCACCACTACTCGCTGCTCATTTGCATCACGCTCACCATCACCATCAGTTGGTAAGGCCTTCTCAGTTGCTCCCTGGTGCTCCTGGGAAGTTTCCTCAGAAGCTTGCTTCTGTTCCTGAGACGCGTGCTTCTGGCTCTCCAGGTGTTTCAAGGCAGTGCGTGTGAGCATGCGGCGCACCACCTGCTCCGCATTCACCTGCACGTACCCCATATAAGCCAGCACCGTTTCCAGCCCACACTCCTCCACGAGCTCCCCTATAAGCTCAATGCCCCGCTGATTTGCCGCCACCTGTGCGCGCAGGTCTGATAGGTTATCCTCGATGCGGCGTGTGCCCGGCACACGCCGCACTGTTTTCCCACCGCCCTGTCCGTCCCCACTCGAACCCGCTCCACCTGCCATCACCCCTTCCAACACCTGCCCCTCCAGCAGCACCGCTCGAATCGCCCCTTCCTGGAAAACCCCTCCCTTCACCAGTTTCATTGTCCGAATCGCCGCTCCCTCCTCCCAAATGCTCCGCGAAAACGGCGGCATGCTCCCAGGGGTACTTCCCCCGATCTCCGAATGATGCCCTCGGCTCGCGACAAAGAATATAATTCTACCCTCGCGAAACACCGGCGTGACTACAGTGATATCCGGCAGATGGCTCCCCCCAGCGCAGGGATGATTCGTTACAAGCACATCCCCTTCCTTCAACCCGCCCTCCGCCACCCCCTCCCCTCTCCCCCAATAATCCAGCTGCCACCGCACAGTATCGGACATGGCCCCCAGATGCACTGGCACGTGGGGAGCGTTTGCCACTAGGCCGCCATCCGGGGAGAAGAGGGCGCAGGAGAAGTCGAGGCGCTCCTTGATGTTGGTGGAGATGGCGGTGCGCTGCAGGGTTCGCCCCATCTGCTCTGCTATGCCCATGAAGCGATTGCCGAATATGGACAGACGCACCACGTCCCAGGGGACTGGGGGAGAGGAAGGGGAGGCTGGTGACGCTTGTGCTGATGCTGCTTTTGCTGCTGCTGAATGTCCATCTTTCAACACTGTTCCTCCCTCCACATCACTTTGATGTGCCGTGTGCCCCACAGCAATAACGATATTCCCATACTTGGTGATCCCAGCAGTGCACCCCGGCTCAACCACCACAGTGCTCGTGCCATTCAGAATCACCGCTGGCCCCGCCACCACATGCCCCCACCGCAGCTTCTCCAGCCGGAATACTGCCGTCTCCCGCCACCCGCCTTCAAAGTACACCCGGTGCTGCACTGCCTCCGCCTCCGCCGTCCCTGCTGCCACCAAGCCGCCTGCCGCCTCTTCACTTCCGCCAGCCCTGGGAATGGCCGTCTGCTGCAGCACACCAGACGGAGCCACGCCCTTCACTCGGATGTCGTCGATCAACACGCGCCGATCGCCCTGCAGGTCGAACCCAAACTCGCGCTCAAAGCGCCGCTTGAACGCACCCAAGAAGTCAAACGACGCTGCTGGGTGGGAAGTGTGGAGGTTGGTGGATGGGGAAGAGGTGGATGGAGGAGTGGTAGAGGAGAGGGTGTGCGTGGGTGGTGCTTCGACCATGAGAGCCGTGTCAGTGCCGTCGTATCGCAGGTTCAGAAGCACCTGTGTCCACACCCCTGCCTGCTCCCCGCCTTCTCTCCTCCCCTCCCCTCCCTCTCCACTCTCCCCTTCTTCCCCTTCTCCTTTTCCTCCCCCTCCTTCTCCCCCTTTTCCTCTTCCTCCCTCTCCTTCTCCCTCACTCCCGCCCCCCTCCCCACTCCCCCGGCCGCACAATCCCGCCCGCACTTGCTCCTCCATCCGTGCCGCCCGCGCCAGCACACGTGGCAGGCTCTCATTGGAGCACACCTCAGCAGCCGGCTCTTGCATCTCCACCACCCGATCCGCCAACCCCATGCCGTACGCACTCAGAATCCCGCACAGCCGATGCACAAAGACTGTGGAGATCCCAAGGGAGCGGGCTATAGCGCACGCGTGTTGAGGCCCGGCACCGCCGAAGCAAGCGAGCACGTGCGAGCTGGTCTCGTGACCCCGAGCCTCTGTGAGCTCTCTGATTGGCCGGCACATTGCCTCGTTTGCCACGCGGATAAACCCCATCGCCACCTCTTCTACTGACATTCCGTCTTGCCCTGACTCCTCTCCCCCCTCCCCCTCCTTGTCCCCCTCACCTCCCTCCCCACCCATCCCTCGATTCACTTCTTTTGCCAGCTCAACCATTGCCTCCCTCGCCGCCTGCTCGTCCAATGGGAGGTCCTCGTTCGGCCCGAAAATGGCGGGAAAATATTTGGGCAGCACGCGGCCCAATAGCAGGTTGGCATCTGTCACCGCCAGCTGCCCGCCCTTTCTGTAGCAGACGGGGCCGGGGTGGGCCCCCACTGATGCGGGCCCCACACATAACATGCCCGACTCGAAGAAAAGACGAGAGCCGCCGCCCGCTGCTACCGTGTTAATGTCGAGCTGGGGGGCTTGGATGGTGATTCCGGCGGTGGTGGTTTCTAGAACCTGCTCATATGCGCCCCCTGCGTATCTTGACACGTCAGTAGATGTGCCACCCATGTCAAAGCCAATCACAGGACGACACTTCACCGCTTCCTCTGCTGCTGTACAAGCACCAACAGGATTGTCGCTTGTCTTGTTGTTTTCATTGTTTTTGTTTTCTTTGCGGCTGCTGACGTCAGAAAGGAGCCCTTCCAGACCTTCCATTTCCCGAGCCTCGAACTCGAATGTGGTTCGGGCAAACCCAACCACGCCTCCTGCCGGACCTGACAGGATGGCTTGGTAACCCGTGAAAGCTTGGGCGGGAGTCAACCCTCCGTCTGACCGCATAAACGACACTGCCACGTCAGCAAGGCCCGAGTCAAACCCTGCTAGGAATTTTCCCACGTAGGTGCGAATTGCAGGGGTCAGATAAGCGTCCACGCAAGCAGTGTGTCCACGTGGCACAATCCTGACCATTGGAACGAGATCGCTCGACGCAGAGACCTGATTAAAGCCCATCTCCCGCGCTAAAGCCGCCACAGCGCGTTCGTGGTCCGGGAACGTGTAAGAGTGGAGGAACGCGATGGCCAATGACTTGATGCCACGTGCCAACACCTTCTCCAGCGCGGCTCGAGTCTTCTCAATGTTAAGCGGCACTAGCACGCGCACTAGCTCCCCCGAAACTCCGCGCACCGTGCGCTTCCCCGCTTCCTCCCCTCCCTCCGCTGAACCCTCATCCCCATTTCCCCCGGCTTCCCCCTCCCCCCCGGCTTCCCCCTTCCCCCCGCCGCTCCCCTTCCCCCGGCCCTCCCCCTGCGCCTCTTCCCCCGGCAGCACCTGCGCGCGCTCCTCCACCTCAACCACCTCCTCGTACAGCAGCGACGCGCGCCGAGCCGTCAGATCGAAGATGCGCGGCCGCGCCTGGTTGCCGATACGCAGCAGATCCGGAAAGCCACGTGTCACGCAGAGAGCCGTCCGCTCGCCGGCGCGCTCCAGCAGCGCGTTCGTCGCCACGGTCGTCCCCATGCGGATCCAGTCGATTCGCTCTGTAGGAAGCGGCGCGTTTCGCGGAATCTTTTCGCCCGTGACTTCTTCCAGGATCCGGCGAATTCCTTCCCGCGGCGCGTCATCGTAGTTAAGAGGGTCCTCGGAAAGCAGTTTAACGACGCGGAACGGCGGGTCGCCGGGAACCTCGGCGTAAATGTCGGTGAATGTGCCGCCGCGGTCGATGCAGAAGCGGAATTCCCGGCGGGATTTAGAGGCGGACGCTGACGTGGACATTGTGAGAGATTGCAGCGAAATGGCAAACACTGGAAGGGGGGTAAATACAACAGGTGTTCCTAGAGAAAACCGTCTAATTACCTAAGGAGAGCAGGATAAAGGAGTTTGACGCTGACAGCCAGAATTCTGGGTGCAGTGCAGAGCAGAACAGGGCCCAGTTCGGCAGCCACGGAAGAAGGACGGAAGAAAAAATTTGCTCATCTTCCATGAAGCTTCTATTCGTATTATCGAGGGCTGTACAGTGCGGGTTGTAAGGTAAACATTTCGGAAATCGAAGCGCAGGTGTTTAGCAGCAGCGACGCGAACACAGGCAAAAATTGATTCCGCGCCGTCTTCTGTCCTTATTCTCCCCCCTTGGCGGAAAGCTTCCGCCCTAGTGAGACGGAAGAAGAAAGTGATTCTCTCACAAAACAAGAATCAACTTTTTGATTCCACCTGGGTTCACTGTTCACGGGACAACATTGCACCCTACGAAGGAAAGGGTTACTACATAAAAAAAACACATTGTCCGGTTTTTGAAAATAGGATTTCCCCAAAAGCGTGGGGCGCGAATATTTTTTCCCTTCTTGGCGAACCTTTTTGTTCCCGCTACAGTGCAAAGGAACAAGCGAATTTGAGGCAAAATGTGCCTCTCTCCTGCGGCGATTTTTCATACCTCCCCCCTCCACCCTCCGCCAGCTCGCAGATGGCGCAGGTTATCCGCAATTCGCGGAAAACAGGGTCAACGAATGTTGACCCTGGGTTGACGCCCACCTTAACTTCCACACATCTTCCGACATTTTTCTTCACCCTGGCTGCCGAACCGGGCCCAGGTCTCGGTTCGTGACGTCATCAGGGTGCAATTTCTGATCGTCCTGGAGCATGCACGAAAAGAAACACATTTTCGCATTTCGTTAATCTGGAAGTGTACTGATTTATGTTAGGCGCTGATATATGCAAGCTGTTTTTCACATCGTACCACCGAACTTACGTCCAGTATCTCGCGGAGTTTCCACAGAACCCCACAGCACTCACATCAGCAAAATTACAAGTAACGATAATATTGTTGAATCACGACATAACAATTACACTACACATTGTGCTCCTACACTTACGGTACACGACACCTACAATGCTTAGAGGAACATTCCCTGGAAGTACTCATCAAACTCCTCTTCTCGACTTGGCTCCACCGCCATTGCTGGCTGCTGCCACACTTCCTCATTGGCTGGCAGCGTGCCCCCTGCAGAGTGCATATGGAGTCAAAGGAGTGTATACACACAATATACACGATACAAGATGGACTATAATGAGTGGCTTGGTGCGAGATGCATGCGCTAGGCATGGTGGCACGAGAGAGCCAAGCTTGCATGTGAAGGAATTGACCTCCGTTCTGTAGGAAACAGACAGAACTGGCAGCAATAGAAGACAGCGAAAAGCATGCACTCGAACAGCAGGCTCCAAGAAGCCCATGCCTCTCACCTTGAACCACAACATTCCTGCCCTTGCCATCTGCTAGGCTGCCTCCTCCACTCCCTTGCCCCTGCCCCTGTCCATGTCCCTGCCCCTGCCCAACCCCTCCGCTCTCATGTTCACTTGCTGCTGATTTTCCAATTCCTGCCGCTCCATGTACCCCCCCATCCCGCCTTGCCTCTGTTCCTTCACCTTCCCCACCTGCCCCGCCTGCCCCACCTGCCTCACTTTCACCCCGTGCTCCACTTATCCTGCCTGCCCCACCTGCCGTGCTCCCCCCTCTTTTTCCAGACTCATGCTCCTGCTTCTCCCTCCTTAGCTTAGCCTCCTTCTCCTTTGCACTGTGCCTCTCCTCCCTTCCTGTGCGCCCCTCCTTCCTTGCTCTCGCGCTCCTTCCCCTCTTATGCCTCTTTGCATTGTTGCGTTCATCACTGTCGCTCTCTGCTGCACCCCTCTTGCTGCCGCTTGCGTCACTAGCCTCACTAGAATCACTGGCGTCACTATGATCACCACCACTATCACTAGTATCGCCATGGCTGCCGCTGCTGCTGCTGCTCGAGTCACTGCTGTTGCCTCTGCTGCGCAATAAGGTGACATGGAGAAGAAAGGCGGGAGGATGGTGACATGGCCAAAGGGAAGGGACAATGGCGAAATGGTCGAGAGAACGGGTGATGACGATCTGGAAAAAGAATAACAAGAAATAAATGCACAGTGCAAAGTCCAACGCATGAAGTTGAGAGGGTGAGGTGAGTAGTGGAAACATGATGAAAGAATGAAAAAGGATGATGTGGTGAAGTGAAGGAAGGGGGTCGCGTTTCCATGAGGTAAAGGAGTATCCTCAAAGCAGTCTCCCTTTCCCTGAGCATGCAAACTCACAACGCACTCATACTCACGAAGCAATAAAATCCACAAACCACAGTCCTACCATTCACCATCCCAAATTACCCTCGCTTCTTCCGTCTCTTCCTCTCTTTCTGCCTTCTCTCTCGTTCCGCCCGCTCCCTCTCCCGCTCCTCTGCTGCTCGCTGCCACTCCAACTCCTTCTCCTTACGGTAGTTCAGATGATACGCATGCCTGGAACAAGGGGTGGTGTGAGGTGAGGAGCGACGGTGAGGTGTTTGGGTGTTCTTGAGCCGCCTCAGGGACACACTCCTCTCTCGCTGACACTCCAGCTCTTCTCCTTGCGCTAGTTGAGCCGATACGCATGCCTGGAAGGACACAGGCCCCAGGGTGAGTAGGGGGGGGAGGAAGAGGGAGGGGGTGCGGGGGGAGGGGGGGGGGGGGCGGGGGGGGAAGAGAATGGGGGGTTGTTCTGAGTCAGCTGGTATGTGTGTCTGGAACAAGGGGGTGATGTGAGGTGCGACAGTGTTTGAGAATCTTGAGCCGTCACAGAGACACACTCCTCTCTCGCTGCCACTCCAGCTACTTCGCTTTGCAGCAATTCAGCTTTTATGAGTGTTTGAGAGAGGAGAGTGGCATGGGCTTGAGCTGGTTGTTGAATGGAGAAAGTGTTTTCAAGCTGCTTCAAAAACATGAGAATACTTACAACATGACGATGAAATCCAATTGGTTTTTGTTCAGGAGGCGACTTAATAAAAACTGACACCTGACTTGGGCAACAAATTATTTCTTTGATGTTTCGATCAATTTCCTGTTCAGCAGGCACACTTGACTATCAGAAACAAATTCTCAAACGTCTAAATCAGACTCACTCACTTGGTACACACCCTCAGCTTCACCAGCGCCTGTTTCTTCTGCCCGGCTTCATGGTAGGCGAAATTTACCTGCCCTTGATAGCCATGCAAGAACACATGCATGCAAAAATACATGCAGATATACATGCCGGCATGCCCAAGAAACATGCAGGGGTGTGGGATGAGCAGGACTGGGCGTGCGCGGAAAACCATTGAAACAGGGATGCGAGTGAAGTTGTATACCTGACATGACACAAAAACACGAAAGGGAAAAGCCCTTCGTGCCTTTTCAGCTCCGAACAACTTTCACGCCAGTTATTAGTAAATTGAAAACGCTGAGCTGCACTTATGCATTTGAATCAGAAGAAAGGTGAGTGCGTCGAAGAAAGTCGTTATTTGGAAGGCTGCTCAGGAATAGAGGAGTGCGTCGAGTAGGTCAACGTAGGTATGACCGTGTTTTGAGCGGGCGGATGGGGAGAAGAGAAGGACCGCCAAAAAAAAAAAAAAAAAAAAAAAAAAAAAAAAAAAAAAAAGGCTGACAATGCTTCTGTATGACTTGCCTCGTAGCTATGAAGGCCTTCTCTATTGTCACACCCTTTAGTGCCACACACAAACTGACCTGCAAGGAACACGTGAGAAAGAATGGGATGAAAAGCAGTGCAGCAGGGAAGAAACGGGAATACACCTGGAAACTGTTTTAATCCATTGCTATTCACACGCGTTTTCACACGCCGTCACACGCCATGGAATCGTTCAATCCACCTATCATCAAAACAAACCGGCAATTACACATGCAAGCAGGCATGCAACCACACATGCACCAATCACTCAAAGAAGGTGCAATAACTGGTGAGATTCTTGCTTTCTCTATTCACATCCAATTCACATGTCCACTTCAACCCCCCGCTTCACCTACCCACTCTAACTAGTCACTTTACCTTTTCCCTGCAGCACTTCAGCATGTGTGCGCCATCGCAAGCCAATCTGAAAGTGCAGCACCACGCAAAATTGGAAATACAGAAACAAGAATTAGTAAAATACCAAATCCAATCTAGGAGAAAAAAAAGCAGCAAATAGCGCGCAAGAGATGTGCGTTTGATCTTACTCACATGCAAGAAAAAAAAGTTAGTGAACGGAACAACTCGTGCACTATAGCATAGATCCGAGAGGAACAATGACTGCATGACGTGAATACAATGAACTCAGCCATAACACACATGTGATGTGACGTTCAATGCTCGTTTCATACTCATGCAAGCATGATTGATGTACACGCTACCTTGTTCTCCTTGTATCGGCTCATGTCCGCGACACAGTACCTGCACCAGAACAGGCACACACATGATGAGGAATATGCTTAGGAGAAAACTGAGTGCTCCTTATGTGTTCCCTCCCCATCATACTGTGTGCCACACCACTAGGTCCTTCAATTCTCAGAATTCTCAGTGCACACAACATTTGGTCCAAGTGACCAAGTGTCACAATTTTTTAGATATAAGACCACAACTTTTCTAGTGTCACATCACTTGGTCCTCTAATAGAAAACCACCAGTCTTCGTTCTTCAATGTATGTCACACAGACACTACTGCTTAAGGTGTCACTGCAAGATGAAGTCAGTAACATCTGAAATTTCTCAAAAAGCAATTTAGAGAAGCTTACACTCTAAACAGCTGGTCAGGGGTGCTTATTCCGTGAACAGCTTGTCAGTATGACTACTTACTCAAACATTGTGGATCGTTTCAGGCTCAAGTGCTTACTCCTTGAACAGCTTGTCATAGTATCGCTTGGCCAGCCTCTGCTCCCACGTGCCCTCTGCGTCATCTGCCTCTGACCGAATGAACCTGCACCTCCCATTGGGACACGTATGGGTTGGGTTAGCATGAGTCAGACGTGGTCAACACACACTGGTCAATGGTCATTTATGAACCTGTTCTGCATCATCCGCCTATGACCGAATGAACCTGCACCTGCACCTCGTATTGGCACACACATGGGTCGGGGACAGACAGGCATGGGGACAGGCATGGGTGGTGCGTGGACATGCATGCACTGGCATGCATCATCCGTGTCTGACCGAATAAACCTGCACCTCAGATGTAGAGACACATGGGTTGAACATGGTGTTAGAACTTGAGCTTAGAATCCATGCATTAGTAATGAGTCCAAGGCTCTTTAATTACATTGGAAATGGGTAAGGAGCACGAGGACTCTGTTGCCAAGTACCGCAAGTGGGAGAAGGCCGATGCGGCTATCATTAGCGTCTTCATCGGCTCCACTCCCCCCGAACTTGTCAACACGTTCCACAACTACCCCACTTCCAACGCCATTTGGAAGCATCTCCAGGACAGGTTCATGAATAAGACGGCGGTCGGGGTGGCCATCCTCATTCCTAGTATGTTTCAAGTCCGCCTTGAGGATTGCCCGGGTATGGCCGACTACATCGCCAAGGTGCAAACCATCCATGGCGAGCTCAAAGCCGGGTAGAAAGGTGAGCCAGCGGGCCTCCTGAGCCGCCATGGTGCCAGCATAGAGCTCTGCCTCACAGGAGGAGAGGGAGACTGCAGACGACCGGGTGGAGCGCCAGCTGGCAGTTCCGCTCCCAAGGGTGAAGCAGTAGTCTTGGGAAGAGCGTCGGTCGGTCTGGTCATCGGCCCAGGAGGAGTCTGTGTACCCTTCCAATCGAGGAGGAGAAACCCCACCAAGGGTGAGGACATGAGACTTGGTTCCCAGCAGATAGCGCAGCACCCGCTTTGCCGCTTTCCAGTGAAGTTCAGTGAAGCGTCCAGGAGCCACATAGCGAGAGAGGACACTGACAGGGTATGCCAGATCAGGCCGGGTGCACATCATGGCGTACATGAGGGACCCAACAAGCTCTGGGTATGGCTCAGTGCAGGCCTCTGGTGTGGGGACAGCTGGAGCGGTGAGGAGGTGCTGTAGTGGCAGCGGGGTGGCCATGGGTGTGCACAACTCCATCTCAAAGCGCTTGAGCACATTGTTGATGTAGAACTCCTGAGAGAGTGAGATGGTGCGAGCCTGGCGATCACGAGTGATCTCCATCCCCAGATAGTGTTTGAGGTCACCGAGGTCTTTCATTAGGAGGGCCTTGCTTAGGGCCGCCTGGACAGAGGTCATCTAGGCCGAGTCCTTGGCAACGAGGATGAAGTCATCGATGTAGACAAGGATGTAGAATGGCTCGGAGTGACGGCGAATGAAGAGAGTCGGGTCAGCAGATGACAGGTGAAAGTCCAAGGAGAGAAGGACCTCTTTCACTTTGTTGTGCCATTCACGAGGGGCTTGTTTGAGGCCGTAGACAAGGCAATTCAGCTTCCAGACAGTGTTGGGAGGGAACTCTCCTAGAAAGCCTTCAGGTCGGTCCATAAACACGGTCTCCTTGAGGTTTCCTTGCAGAAATGCTGAAGAGGCATCCATGGATTTGATCTCAAAGTCGTCTCGTGCGGCTACATCCAAGAGCGTGCGAACTGTGGGTGGTTTGGATGTGGGAGAGAAGGTTTTGAAGAAGTCAAAGTACTGCTGCTGAGTGAATCCCTTGGCCACATAGCGTGCTTTGAACACTGGTGCCTCGTCCGGAAGCTGCTTCACTCGAAACAGCCACTTGCCTCCAACGATGTTAACTCCTGGAGGTGGAGTTTCATCGTCAAAGGAGTGGTTGCGAGTGAAGGCTTCACACTCAGCTTCCATGGCAGCACGCCACTCGGCAGCATGGGGACCCGAAAGAGCCTCTTGGACGGTGAGAGGGATAGGAATGGTCGGGTTCTCCGAGAAGTTGAGCGAGGGGGATTCAGTGATATCGGGGAAGATGTGCGAGAGCTGAGGAATGACAGCGTGGAGATCACACAGCTCCTCATGCCTGTCTTCCAGAAGGGTAGAGGGCACATCCCCCCCAACAGGAGGAGTCGGAGTGATCACTGAGCATCGAATGGCAAGTGCCAGTGGAGGAGCAGCCCCATGCGACCGAGTGCCATGAGCCACCGGAGAAGAGGGTGGAGCAGGCGTTCCTAGAGGGGACGGCTTAGGGGCTTAGGGGGAGGGATCGGCCGTCGTTGGTACGTGATTAGTTTGCTCGGCTGTGGGAGAGCAGATTCCTGAGTGGAGGAGGGAACGGGGGGAGGAGGTGGGGCGGGAGGGTTCGACCGCCGATGGTATGTGATTGGTCCGCTTGGTGGTGGGGGCACAGTTGGCAGAGGGGCAGAGGGGGGAGATGGAGGAGCAGCTGCCGAGGACACCGGAGAGGTCAGGTCAGAGACCTCAGATGGGGATGGTACGATGGCAGGAGAAGCAGGAGGTGAGGGGGCTTGTGCAGGCGGAGGTTCAGAAGGCGCATCAAAGTCAGCCCACACAAGAGAGGGTGGTCCGGAGGGGGGATCCCCCCCCCGAGGTAGGGATGAGCAAGGGGCGAACACGAACATGTTCGTGTTCGCCCCTGCACGAACACATCCGTTTGCCGAACCGAACACTGTTCGGTTCGGCTAACACTTTAAGCAAAAACAGGTGTTCGCCATTCGCCTGTGAAGGCGTGATCGGGCGAACCTCGAACACGTTCGTGTTCGTCGCGGGGCAAATTGCAGCTGCGGCCCGAACACGAACGTGTTCGGGCGAACCTCGAACACTGTTTGGCGAACACTTTAAGCAAAAAAAACGTTCGAGGCGAACCGAACAGGTGTTCGCCCTTGTGCTCATGTCTACCCCGAGGTGGAGTAGAAGGGGCGAGTCTCATAAAAAACGACATCTCGGCTCCGGACGAGTTGTTGAGTGGAGGGGTTGAGGAAAAGGTAGTCAGGGGAGTCAGCGTTATGCCCAAGGTATATGCACGTTTGAGTTTTGGGACCAAGCTTGCCACCTTGCCGCCGTCGAGCCTGGGGGTTGAGGAGTACATAGGCGGTGCATCCCCAGACGCGAAGGGGGCGAGCAGTGGGTGTTTTCCCGAGCCAGAGTGTGGTGGGAGTGGTGTCGGGAAGATGCGGGTGGGGGTAGAGATTGTAGAGGAGGGCGGCATGATAGAGGGCGTACCCCCAGAGTGAGAGTGGTGCGTTGGAGTGGCTGAGGAGGCAGCGAGTGATCTGCGTCAGTGTGTGATTGCGGCTCTCTGCTATGCCGTTCTGCTGCGGGCTGTCAGGAAGGGTGAAGTTTTGCAGGATGCCAAGGGAGGAGCAGAAGGCTTTGAGCTTGTCATTGCAGAATTCACGACCACCATCCGAATGGAGACGCTTGACCTTGGTGCCAAAAGAGGTATGTGCCTGGTTAACCCATGCCATGATTGCCTCCGGGGCCTCAGCCTTAGTGCGGAGGAGGTGCACAGAGACGTAGCGAGTGTGGTCATCAACTATCAGAAAGAAATAGCGATGGCCACCTCTTGCGGCAACCGGGGCAGGGCCCCAGACGTCCATGTGCACTAGGTCCAGTGGGGCTGCTGCTACTGAGGGTGTGGCAGGGTGGGGCTGGTGGCGTAGCTTGCTCTTGGTACAGTCAAGGCACATGGGAGCGGGCGAGTCAGGTGGTGGAGGAAGTGAGGCTGGCAGGCCGAGAAGAAGCTTCTTGGAGGCCATGTCAGCAAGCGTGCGGAAGTTTGGGTGCCCGAGCCGATGGTGGTAGAGAATGGTCGGGTTAGAGAAACTGCGACACGAGCATGGTGTGATGGCAGCCTGTGCTTGGGTGGTTGACACCTGTGGGATAGGTACACGCAGCGTGTAGAGACCGCTGCTGTTGAGGGTGAAGCGGGCTAAGACTTTGTTGGTGAGTGGGACGATGACGTCACAATAGTCCTCGTACTCTGAGATGATGGTGCGGAGCCCAGCCCTCTGAAGTTCTTGTTGAGCCAATAGATTGTGGCGTAGTGAAGGCACGCACATGCCAGAGACAGTGCCGGATGGGAAGACGGGGCACGGGACAGTGGACGAACCCTTGGCAAGAGTGGTGAAGCTTGAATCAGCTCCCAGGAGAGGAATGGGTGTAGAGTAGGGTTTGAAGGAGAATGTCTCCTTGAGCACAGTGTGAGTGGCCCCGCTGTCAAGTGTGAATTCTATGTATTGTGGTGCTTGTGATGAGCCGATGTACTGCGAAGTTGCTTCATTAATCATGGCAGTGCCAGGGAACAACAAGTTGATGCGCACACCAGCAGGAGCACTATCACTAGCACTAGTCTGAGCGAGGTCCTGTGCCTCAACTACGTTGGCCTTACGAGAACGCATCCAATTCGGCGGCTTCTTGTCGATTCCATGGATGGCATACCATTCGTCGCCTTTCTTCTTGAAGCACGTGGCGAGGGGGTGGTTAGTGCCACCACACACTTGTCCCTTGCGGTTGCCATACTTGACGATGTAGGTGCATGGAGGAAAGCGGTTGCGCTGAAAGGGCGCCGAGGCGAGTGCCGATGCGACACTTGCTTGAGGCACGGGGGCACGGAGGGCGTAGGCCTTGGCTTGGGCCGAGGAGTCTTTCTCGGCGGAGAGGAGGGCGGAGGAGACCTTAGCAAAGGTGAGGTCTTCCGCCGAGGACGTGAGGAGCATTTTCCTTATGACTTCGTATGCCGAGGTGAGGCCAACAAGAAGGGCGGCCGCAGGAGCTTGTTCGGGGAAGATGATACCCAGCTCTTTGAGCTCGCCATGGATGGTTTGCACCTTGGCGATGTAGTCGGCCATACCCGGGCTATCCTCAAGGCGGACTTGAAACATACTAGGAATGAGGATGGCCACCCCGACCGCCGTCTTATTCATGAACCTGTCCTGGAGATGCTTCCAAATGGCGTTGGAAGTGGGGTAGTTGTGGAACGTGTTGACAAGTTCGGGGGGAGTGGAGCCGATGAAGACGCTAATGATAGCCGCATCGGATTTCTCCCACTTGCGGTACTTGGCAACAGAGTCCTCGTGTTCCTGGGTTGCCGCAGCATTGGTTGGATCGGACGGCTCCTTGGGGATGGGGGGTTGTTTTCCCTTGCCATGATTGAGAAGAACATCCTTGAGGTCAAGTCCACCCACTTCACGACTTAGAAGGAGCTTGTCAACCCCGTAGCTCCATGCCTTGAAGTTGGAGCTAGTGTCGTCGGCTTCAAGGCGGAGCGGGGTGATGGGGTTGGCGAGAGTGGCCGAGGCGAAGGCCATGTCGAAGAACCCTTTAGGTCTCGCGTGAAGCGCTGCTCTTGAGTCACCGATAGGAACTTGAGGTTTCGGGTTTCTGAAGGAGAATTTGAAGAGCTTGGGGTTTAGGGTTTCCGAAGGAGAATTGTGAGGTTTATGGTTTTCGAAGGAGAAAATCCGAGGGACGCGGAGAGCAAAGAACTTCAATGTCGGCCGCTTCGGAATGTCTCGTAGAGGGAATTTTGAGGCCGATGAAAGTAGGTCAAATCGGCCGATTTCGGTAGCTAACACTATTCCCACACACCCCCCCACACACCACCCTCAGCTTCGCTGCTACACGGCTGCTCAGCTGCGCGGCTGCACCTGTTCAGCTGCGGAGTGCCGGTGCGGGGCGACGGGCGGCAGATCGACGAGAAGATGCAGGGCGACGGGCGGCGGCCCGACGAGAAGCTGCAGGGCGACGGGCGGCGGCCCGACGAGAAGCTGCAGGGCGACGGGCGGCGGCCCGACGAGAAGAAATGGAGTGAAGACAATTGACGAAAAATGCGATTGGTTAAGAAGCCGACGATACGATTACCAGAGAAGTTGCAAAGGTCGTCGAGAAGGAAGAGAGAGTGGCGCGGGATAATTTCCGGCCAAAGAAGTCGCGAATCACCGGCGACGAGATTGATGGCGGCTACGCCGAAGAAAGCGGGACAAGGGCCCGTTGAGATAGGAGGATCATGATACGCGTGTGCGGTTGAAACCCTCTGATACCATGTTAGAACTTGAGCTTAGAATCCATGCATTAGTAATGAGCTCAAGGCTCTTTAAGTACATTGGAAATGGGTAAGGTAAGGGTGGGGAGAGAATCGGGGGCAATCCTAGGGAATTGGGGGTAATCCCAAGACAATCTCCAATTGGTGGGTTGGAGATTGCTTGGAGATCACATTTGGGTTTGGTTGGGATGTGGGTGTACACCCAACCAAACACAAAGTGCAAACTACACTAAACTAGGATATAAAAAGTAGAAGTGCAAATGTGAGATTGAGGGCTAACATTAACACATGGGACAAGCATGGCCAGTGCATGTTAGTGGTGCACACGAGGTCATACACATTCAAGACAGACCTGGACCTGGACATACATGTTAGCGCTCGCTGGGGACGTCCAGTCCAGGTACATACGTGTCCGTCTTGAATGTGGGTGCGCTGCTGGGAGCTGGCAGGTGCCACGTGGACAGGAGAGACGCGCCCCGGAGTGTGGGTTGGGAGTGGGTGCCGGGGCTAGGAGGCAAGTGAGTCTAAAGGACTTACCGATAGCTCTCTCTCAAGACGTCCAGGTCCGTTTTGAATGTGGTTGCAGCGCCGGAGGATGATGAGCGGCCGTAGAAGCGAACTGCCATGGTGTGCGGTGGGGAGGAGTGCAGTGGGATGAGGTAGAGTCGCATTGGGTGGAATGGGATGGGGTGGACTGGGTGGGGTGGGGTGAGGTGGGTAACACAATTCACGGCATGCATATGGTGGAGAGGGTAGTGGTGCATGGGACATGCAGATCTAGCAGAGGTGGGGATGGATGGTAAGAGGTGAGGATGGGTGGCAAGAGGTGGGAATAGAATAGATAGCAAGGGGTGGGTATGGGGGAAACGAATTACATTCCACAATAGGACATGGAGAGGCATGGTGCGCGCAACTAACGGGTGTGCAGGCATGCGCGCGTCCATGTGCCTGTTCGAGCGCATGTGCATGTGAACATGCATGTATGTGCAGGCCTGTGTAGCCCTGTGAGCAATTCTTGCGTCCACAGAACTGTTCCAGAGCCTGCTGCCGCTCTGCAACCCATCCTTACCCACCCCTTCCTGAGCCACAGGCACAGGCACTGAGGCGCAGAGGAGCAAAGAAGGGCGGCAGAGTGTGCAGTGCTGTTGGGGGGCTGCGAGGAGAGGCGCTGCAAAAGCAGGCAGAGACCCTCTGGTTTTGCCTGACGAGCAGACATTAGCCCCCCGTGTGCGAAAGAAGCACCTGACTGGCCCAATAAGCAGCAGCTAGCATTGCAGTGCCCGTAGCTTCATTGAGTTGAGTCAGAAAAAGAGGAGGGAGGGAGTGTTGGGAGGGGGGGGGGGGGGGGGGGGGGGGGGGGGGGGGGGGGGGGGGTTGTGTTGCAACTTGCATGGTTATCTCTGACATGGAATGGTAAATACGATATGGGTGGCTGATCGCAATGATCTACAGTGGATGGATTATTGCATTAAGTGTTGTCCGAGCCTTATCTTAGACTGGCCATGGTCGTTGAGTGTTAAGATGCCTCAAACTGTCTATAGTCGTGGACAAACTTTAGGGGTCCCTAAGAGGCATTCATTAAGGAGACACAAAAACAGGCCACTGACCATAGTCCGTTGCAATTGGGATGCGTCAGGGCGACTGACCATAGTCATGGACGAACTTCTGGTGTCGCTGAAACGCATTCAGCCCCAGCAGATGGTCACGGTAGTGCCTGAGAGGGGCGAAGAGAAGCGAAAGTGACAATAACGAGGGTGAATAAAAGGGTAAGTGGCTTCCAAAGAATCCCGCATTCAGTCCCCGCAAGGGGTAGTGTCTGAGAAGAGGACGAGATTCGAACTAACTATAGCGATAGGTGAAGGTGTATTTCACGTGACTCGTTACTGACTCGAAATGCGCAATTGGCTTCGGCAAAGAAACTAGCAACGCAAGACGAGCATGTGGTGTAGGTATTTCACGAGATCGGAATAACAATGAAAATCATTATGCTAACGGCTATAATCGGCAAAAAAACCAGGCACGAGAGACGAGAACGCACTGCTGGTTTTGCTGCTGCGAGAACACTTTGTCGTGCAGCCTCGAGAATGACGCCATGCTGCGACGCGCCTCGAAAGAATGTCGAACTGCTAATGACGAACCGCTGCGACGCGCCTCAAAAGTATCTATTGACCGTTCACTCTTGAGAATGCCTGACGATGGAATCGCGGCTAGCGTCGAGTTGAGGAGCAATAGCCAGAGGTTTGGATGGGATGATCATCAATCGCTTGAAGGATTTACGCGTTGAGGCAATGGTGGAAGAAACAAGGGAACGAGGAGGATCAGGGCAAAGGGATTGCCCGTTCTGACTGAAGGGCTAGGAAAAGTAGGGAGTGGAGGATTCGATAAACCGACCTTCTGTCAAACGTACAGTCTGAACACGATAAGACATGTACAAACAAAGACATATAACCTAGAGAAGATAACAATCTAAGCACTAGCAAATCAAATTATAAGTACATGCTAAAGAACAACATACTGTCTTATGTACACAGGCCTGGCAAATTAACACCTCCCCTCTCCACTACCCTCCCCACCTGCACCTAACCTCCTGTCTTCCCGAGCCTCAGCCGCAGCCTCGGCCCGAACGCGATCCCGGTCCTTGGGATACGTCCAATACAACCACCCATAGCAAGCACAGCAAATAGCAAACGGCAATGCCATAGTCCAGAACAAACCCAGCGACAAAGCCTCTGCATTCTTAGCATCCACAGCCATTTCCGCGTGGCTCCTGCTGCTGCGGCTGCACGAGCTACTGCTGCTTACACCACTACTACTATCACCGCCCAAAGCAGTGGCATCGGCAGGTTCGGGCGAGGGCGGGATGTACCCGAACCAAGCCTGGGCGAGGTAGCCCACAGTGGGTGGAGCAAAGGCTGCTATGGACATTTCAAAGGTTCGGTCGAGGGCGTATATGTCCATGCGGAGTCTCTCAGGGACTATCTCTGCAAATATGGGGCTGGGGGGTCGTGGGGAGATGGGGAGGGAGTAGAGGGAAAAGGAAAGAGCAAGGAAAGAGGGGAAGGGTGAAAGGGGGAAAGAGGGGACACATGAGAGTGAATGAGGCAAACATAGGAGGGACAGCGTGAAAGAGATAAAGAGAGAAAGAGAGAAGGAATGAACTTGAGGAACTACGGATGGGATGTGTCTTGTCATCATGCGCGTGAGGCATCACGCACTCAGTCATTTCTGGCCTACTTCTGAAGACCCACAGGAGCGAACTATCTGTTTACTTGGTGCTGGCCTGTTTGTTCCTCGCATTGCTGCCTTGCATCCAAACACACTCACTTGTTGGTACCCGCAGCATTCCATGAGATAAGAAACCCCATGAGGGTCAACACCATAATGTACACCATAAAATACTCGGGCGATTGCGGCACCACCCTCAGCAGCACTGTCGACAGCACCACCGCCGACCCTGCACTGATCTGCGCACACACCAGCCTCCCCCCATCCGGCCACCTTCTAGCCATCTCATCCCCAAACCACCCGCCAAACAGGCCCCCCAAGCTGCACGCGACGGTGAACACGGAGAGGAGAACCGCAGTGGAAGCATGGGAGAAGCCGAGGAGCTCGAACCACATGGGGAAGAATGCGCCTGCTGCCCAGGGGAAGGAGCCTACGACCCCCTGGGCTATGATCAGCTGGAAGGTTCGGATTCGGAGGACTTTGAAGACGTCTGAGAGGAATGTGGAGGAGTGAGGGGAGGAGAGGGGGGTGGGGAGGAGTGGGGAGGGGTGGGGATGGGAGTGGGGAGAGTGGGGTGGGGAGGAGGTGGAGAGGCGGTGGTGGGAGGAGGTGGGTTGGAGTGGGGTCGATTCGTCAAATTGAGACTGCTGCTGCTGCTGCTGCTGCTGCTCCTCCTGCTGTTGGTGGTGGTGGTGGGGCTGCTGCTGCTGTTGCTTCAAGTGTAGGGTATGGTCTTCAGATAGCAACGGCTCTACAGTGCGCTCCTCTTGTGTCCCGGGGTCGTCAGTTAGGCTAGTCAAGGCGTCTATTGACCTGGTGGAGAGAGGCGGGAGAGAGGCGGGAGAGAGGTTGGAGAGAGGTTGGAGAGAGGTTAGAAAGATAGAGAGAATGGAAAAGAGGGAGGCGGGGAAAGAGGGGGGCAGTGGGCGAAGGAGGGGTGGTGTAAAAGTGCTGATTGCAATGGCTTTGTCGTGCACTCCAGTTGTGCCCCCGGGTCGTCACTCAAAAAGTCTTGTGCCCGCAAGGAAAGAGGTAAAATTCCATTCTCGCATGTGCTGAAGTGCCAGAGCTTTCCTGTCATGTGCGAAGAGCCAGAGCACAGCAGGCAAGCCCAGACTAACCACAGTCACTATGATGAAAGCCATGCGCCACCCGGCTAGGCCGAAGAATGCGTAGCAGGCGAGGGAGATGCCGAGGGTGAAGGGGTTAAATGCACTCTACAGTCGACTCAATACTCACTTGACCGTGGTGGGTGCCGGGTCGTGCGCAAAGAGCCAGAGCACGGCTGCCAGAGCCAGGCTGACGACCGTGACTATAATGAAAGCCATGCGCCAGCCCGCTAGCCCAAAGAAGGCGCAGCAGGCGAGGGAGATGCCGAGGGTGAATCCGAGGGTGTATTGTGGTGCAATGACAGGTTGTCGACTCAAAACTCACTTGACCGTGGTGGGAGCCGGGTCGTGTGCGAAGAGCCAGAGCATGGCCGCCAAACCCAGGCTGACAGCGGTGACTATAATGAAAGCCATGCGCCAGCCAGCGAGGCCGAAGAATGTGTAGCAGGCGAGGGAGATGCCGAGGGTGAATCCGAGGATGTTGCCAAAGTTGGTGACAAACTGCAGCCAGCCGAACGCCATGCCGCGCGTGCTGTTGCTGGCTGAATCAGCGACTAGCGACTGGATGGCCGGGATGACCAGTGCTAGGCCGACTCCATTCAGACCCCGCCATGCCGCCACCTGAGTGGGGGGAGTTGGAGGAAGGAGAGAGGGAGTGGGGACAGGAGATGCGGTATCTCAGATGTGAAGCGCAAACCCAAAGTTGGTGACGAACTGCAGCCAGCCGAACGCCATGCCCCTCGTGCTGTTGCTGGCTGAGTCGGCGACTAGCGACTGGATGGCCGGGATGACCAGTGCTAGGCCCACCCCGTTGAGACCCCGCCATGCCGCCACCTGGGGGAAAGGGGGGGGTGTGGGTGAAGAGAGGAAGGAGAGAGGCGGTGGAGGAAGAAGGGTGTGGCAGCAACAGTTGGTGGTGCTGTTGCTGGCTGAATCGGCGACTAGCCACTGGATGGCCGGGATGACCAGGGCTATACCCACCCCGTTGAGACCCCGCCATGACCCCAACTGAGCAGGGTTGGATGGGCCGGAAAGTGAGGAAGGAAAGAGAGGGTTGGGAAGGGAGGACCAGAGATGGGATGACCAGTGCAAGCCCCAATCTGTTGAGACCCCTCCATGCCGCCACCTGGGGGGGAGGAAGGAGGGATGGGAATGGGCGCGCACAGAGGAAAGGGGGAGGTGGGATAAGGGCCAGAGCTGAGATGACCCAAGATGACCCATTCACCTGGAACCAGCTTCTCAGGTACCTCACAGCAGATGCTGAGTGCAGTGCAGAGTTACCTTGAAGGTGGTACCTTGAGTGAGAGTGATAAACAGTGGGGATTTACATCATACTGCCACCACTAGTCACTGCTTACTTCATAGTAGGTGGTGGCAAAGCCAACGCCCAGCGTGGCGGTGGCCCATGTGAACGCACCCACTGTAATCACTCGCACTCGCATGCACTGGTAGGTAGGTGAGTGAACACAAGTCACCTGATCCATTCACCTCAAAACCTTACTCCCTCACTGCTCCCTACCTCATAGTAGTTGGTGGCGATGCCGACCCCCAGAGTGGCGATGGCCCATGTGAACGCACCCACTGCAATCACTCGCAATCGAGTGCACGTGGTAGGCGCAAGTCACCCCACTTATTCACCTCAAAACCGCTTCTAGGTACTCTCTCACTCCTCCTTACCTCATAGTAATTGGTGGCAATGCCAACGCCCAGAGTGGCGATGGCCCATGTGAACGCACCCACTGCAATCACTCGCACTCGTGGCATCCAGTGGGCCAGCCATGGGGTGAGCGGGCAGGTTAAGGCCTGTGGTGTTGGAGGGAGAGAGGTAGGTAGCGCAAGTAAGGAGGTGGAGGGCCTGGAGGGGAAAGCAGCAACTCGCACTCGCGGCATCCAGTGGGCTAGCCATGGGGCGAGGGGACACGTCAATGCCTGGGGTGGTGGGTGGCGGGGAGGCAGGGGGAAACTAGTGATGGGAACGAGGGGTACATGTGGGCTTTGAGCGATGGGGTACATGTGGGCTTTGAGCGATGGGGTACATGTGGGCTTTGAGCGATGGGGTACTAGAGTTGAAAACACTCAAGACATCCAGTGCGCCAGCCATGGGGACTTTTGAGTCGACTCAAAAGTCAACTCGTACTAGAGTTGAAAACACTCAAGACATCCAGTGCGCCAGCCATGGGGACTTTTGAGTCGACTCAAAAGTCAACTCGTACTAGAGTTGAAAACACTCAAGACATCCAGTGCGCCAGCCATGGGGACTTTTGAGTCTACTCAAAAGTCAACTCGTACTAGAGTTGAAAACACTCAAGACATCCAGTGCGCCCGCCATGGGGACTTTTGAGTCGACTCAAAAGTCAACTCGTTCTAGAGTTGAAAACACTCAAGACATCCAGTGCGCCCGCCATGGGGACTTTTGAGTCGACTCAAAAGTCAACTCGTACTAGAGTTGAAAACACTCAAGACATCCACTGCGCCAGCCATGGGGCGAGCGGGCAGATGAAGGCCTGGCAGGGGTCAGCTCAGCAGGCAAGATAAGGATGATACGGAATGGTGAGACGGAGGAGTATGTGAGTTAGTAGAAATTAGAAGGCAGCTCAAAGCACTTGCGGCATCCAGTGCCCCAGCCAGAGGTGAAAGCCTGGGGAGCGAGAGGTGCGGAGGAAATATTGGGCTTTAAGTCGGCTAATAGCACATATGCTGGACCAGCCAGGGGGCGAGAGGGTATGTGAAGGCTTGTCATGCCATAAAATTCGACCATTATGACATACCTTGATTTGCCATGCCATCCCTTAAACCTGCCATGCCATGCCAACATGCTCCAACCACCAACGCACCACGACTATCCCACCACCGCGATTATTCAACCCTTCACCTCCCCACTTTCCCCTTTTCCCCCCTCCCCTCCCCGCCACCCCACCTGCACGAGTGGGCGCACGAGAGTGAGAGTGCCCAGGGCTTGGGGTGACACGCCATGCCAAGACATGCCATACCATGCCATGAGATGCCATGCTATCTCCCCACCACAACCCCCCATTTCCCCCCCACCTCTCAGCCCCCCCACCTGCACGAGCGCGCGCACGAGCGTGAGAGTGCCCAGGGCTTGCGGGGACGCGTGAAACGCTTGGCCCACCTGCTCGGGGGAGATTGGGGGGGAGGGGGAGGAGGGGGAGGAGGGGAACGTGCGTTGGCGTGAGGAGAAGAGGCTTGCAGCGCGAGAAAGGCTTGGCCCACCTGAGGAAGTAAGAAGGCGGGGAACAGGGAGCGGCTGGAAAAAAAGGAGGGAGGGAAGTGGGTAGAATGGGGGCAGCTGTGGGGGTGAGAAAACGGGGGAGGGGTTTGCAGGTCGAGAATGAGAACTGGGCTGGGGGAATTGAAAACGGCAGCGGAGAAGGGAATGCCTGGCATAGCTAAACCGTGAGGTGGCGGTAGGGGAAGGGAATGTGTGTCCGCGGTATGCGTGCGTGACAGGAAGAGGTACGAGGGAGTTAAGAGAGATACAAGAAACGGACAGAGGTACAAACGAGTAAAAATATACAACGAGAGCCTTATGGTTCCTAAGGACCCGAAGTTGGGGTGGGGAAGAGTGGAAATAGCCCTCGCGGAAGACTTGAGAGTGGTCTCGTTACAATAAAGAAACGCGTTGCAATTAGTGGAGGAGATTTCGCAGTAAGCACACCTCGTTATAAACGGCAGGAAGAAGCGCCTCGTCCGCCCTCTCTACAATCGCGGCGATGTTGACTATAACGAGGGTGCGCAGCCGAATGTCTTTCCACCATGACCACATGACGTCAGCCCTGAGATTATAGCGCGAGGAGGACGCGACGCGCGTAACGACGTCCTTAATCGTCGACGCGGATCTGGGCGAGAGCGAGGAGGTCGAAGGAGGGGAACGCGAGCCTACGCGCGGCGACGATCGAGCTTTAAAGCTCATGGCAGGACGGAGGACGCTACACAATATTCAGTCGACTTGAACGCTGCTACGCGGAGCAACGTGGCATGTCAGGGCTCAGCAGCAGGCAGGGAAGGTCGCGAGGGTCGACGGCCGTCGTCGAATGGCCGAGCCCAGGCCGCATCACTGGTGGTTGTCAGGATTCAGTTTTTTTTTTGCTGTGAGGTGAGAGAGTGATGGACTGATGAAATTCAGCTCGTTTTGTGTGAATCTGCATGTGCATGCATTCAGGGACCTTGAGATTGCCGGCTGACGTTGGAAGTCATGACTCATGCTTCGATTGTAGCAGGGAACGCGAGTTTCTGTAGTGAATCCTACAACGCGCAACCAACAAAATGCACCAATGAATAGTCCAAGCCACCCACAATACCCTAGCAATGAGTTGCTAGATGATTGAAAGAAATTGTATTAGCAGGTGAAGGCTGAAGTACATGCTTGGTCAAATAGAGACCTATGGTTAATGGTTGAGAAGGCTCTTATGAACTGCCTTGCACATATCACTGAATGTGATTGTGGTACAAAATTTGTCCAGGGGCTTCGACAGGGGCAGAGGATTACGTGGATGCACAATCTTTGAGCACATTCTCCACCTTTGATTAAGTAGTCTTTGAACAACGTGCCCCAGGGCTGCAGCAGCGCCTGGTGGATAAAGGCCAGCTCAATGCAGCGATACCAGCCATTCCTACAAAGCCTTATAAGGGTGTCATTTCCCCCTTGCTTTCCCCCACCTCTGATAGTCTTTGAACGCCGTGCCCCAGGGCTGCAGCAGCGCCTGGTGAATGAACGCCAACTCAACGCAGCAGTCGGGGTGCCAAGCATTGGTTGCAAGAGGCTACTCGCTTGGGATAATATTCTGTTGCTAATGCTTCATTTGCCCCTTGCCTTCCTCCACCTCTGATAATCCCCATACGACGTGCCCCAGGGCTGCAGCAGCGACTGGTGAATGAACGCCAGCTCAATGCAGCAGTCGGGGTGCTGAGCGTTGGGCTCCACATGGTAAAGCAGATAGCCCACGCTCTCCAGGTGGTACACCATTGGCAGCGTGATGCCGGGGTTGTTGACGCTGGGAAGGAATAAGGGCACGGTAAAGGGATTCACAAAGCAGGGACATGAGTGGGCTGTCTCAAGACACATGAGCATTGGGCTCCACGTGGAAGAGCAGATAGCCCACGCTCTCCAGGTGGTACACCATTGGCAGCGTGATGCCGGGGTTGTTGACGCTGGGGGTTAAGAAGAACAGTGGAAAAGGGTGCATAAAGCAGGGAAAATATTACACAAGTGGGTTGTCTTCCCACACATGAGCGTTGAGCTCCGCGTGGACGCGCAGATAGCAAGCCCTCTCCAGGTGTGATGAGTCCATCTTTGAGTCGACTCTACAATAGCCCTCTCCAGGTGGTACACTTTTGAGTCGACTCAAAAGCAGGTGGTGCACCATTGGGAGGATGATGCCGGGATTGTTGACGCTGGGAGGTGACTTTTGAGTAGACTCAAAAGTCACCTTTTGAGTCGATTCAAAAGCCATTGGGAGGGTGATGCCGGGATTGTTGACGCTGGGAGGTGGCAAGTGTGTGGAAATGAAGGTCCGGAAGGCAGGGGCATAACATACGATACTCGTCCGGAAGGCACGGCCGTCTGCTTTTGAGTCAACTTAAAAGCAGACCCGGAAAGCAGGGGCATAACAAAAGACACTCGTCCAGAAAGCATGGCCGTCTGAAGTCCAGAAACTCGTCTGCTAAACTGATCAAGACCCCCTGTTGTCTATACCCCTTACAAGCATATGCCCGCACGCCAATTGACATCACCCACCCTGCCCACCCACCCACTCTCACTCACTGGCGCAATGCAAGTCAACGAGTACATGACCAAAAGCAGGGTCAAATATCCCAACTCTAGCGAATATCTTGTCGTGTGTATCCACCTCAACCCCCGTCTACCTGCCTGCCCAACCACCACCCAACCACCAACCTACTCCATACCCAATCGCACTCACTGGTGCAAGTCAATGAGTATCTGACCAATTGCAGGGTTGCCAAACGGCTTCACTCGGCTAAACTCCTCCAACACCTCCTCCTCCCTCCCTTCCCCTCCTCCCCCCCCTTCTCCTCTCCCTCCTCCTCCACTCCCATCCCCCACCCCATCCCCTGCCCCTCCCCCCCCACCCTCCCTCCTCCCTGGCTTGATATCATACACCAACCCCTCTTCACACCCATCGCAATCCACCTTTAAAACATCCACATAGGAGTGATTATTCGCACCCATGACCTCCCCCACAGTCATAAACTGCACTCCCGGTCGGTCCACTCTCGCTCTCTCGATCACCCCAGCCCCCGCGAGGCCGATGGGGAGGAAGCGGAGGAAGGAGAGGGCTTGCATGGAGGAGGCAAGGGAGGGATCGAGGAAGGGATCGAAGGTGAGTGGGCGCGTGAGGGGGAACTTGAAGAATATGTCCTTTTCAAAGGAGTATTCCCCGCCTGACCCTATGCTGGGAGGAAAGAGTGGGGGGAGGGAGGGTAGATTGGAGGAAAGAGGGGGGATGGGGATATGAGGGAAGGGATAGGGGGTTAGGGGAGAAGGGCAACGGGGCGAGGGGAAAAGGGCGAGGCAGCATGAGAAATGGATGAAAGGTGAAGGGATGGAGGGTGAAAGGGGTGTGAGAGGCAGGAAAATTCAAAGGTGACAAAAAACACGTGCTTAGCCTCAAGGGCATCTAAGAAGCATATATTTTACTACGGTACTGTATTATCTGCAAAAAAGACGTTCGAGAGGTCTCTTGAGCAAGCACATACAGACCCCTTACCCACCTGTACACGACAGGGTTATCTGGCAGAAAGGTCTTCATGTTGCACAGCCACTGAGGCAGGGGGGGAAAAGGAATGGGGATGGGAAGAGAAGGTGGACAAGGGAAGAGAAGACAGGGAACGAAAAAAAAGGTGGGGGAGGGAAGAGGATATGGATGGGATGGGGATGGGAGCACATGAGCCGACCGAGGTTTGCAGAGAAAGAAGCAACTGGAGCTACGGGAATGAAAAGGAAAACTAGAGTCTGGAACTGCGGAGGAGGGAGAATCTAAAGGCCCCCGTGAAATTGACGGTACACCAACGCTCCCTTCTCCTTCCCCTCAATGTCCACTTTTGAGAATCCTAAAAGTGATGGAAAGCTTGGGGAACTCAAAGAACTCGCAAAGCCCCCTTCCCTTTCCCCTCTATGTCCCCGACCCCAACTCGATGCTTCCCCCTCACCTTGCGGCCGTCCGCCCACACGCCCACGCGCTCCTCCTTGGGGCAGGGGAAGGTGGGCACGAGGATGGACAGCTGGCTCTGCAGCATGTCCAGATTGGGCGGCTGCATGACCTTGAGTTGTGCGAGGCGACGGCGAAGGTTCATCTGAGGTCGCGAAACGGGAATATAGGCGCATTGGAACGATAAGCTTGAGCCTGCAGTGGGAACGAGAATGGATGGGCAGCTGGCTCTGCAGCATGCCCAGCTTGGGCTGCATGACCTTGAGCTGTGCGAGGCGACGACGGAGGTTCATCTAGAGCAGAGCACAGGTGGGCACGAGGATGGCACAGCTGCCTCTGCAGCATGCCCAGCTTGGGCGGCTGCATGGCGCCTAGCTGTGAGGACGGCGGAGGTTCATCTGAGGGCAAGAGATGGGAGTGGTATAGTATGGTTGGGAATGGTATGGTGGAAGTTTAACGCACAGGTTGGCTCTGCAGCCTGTCTAGCTTGGGCGGCTGCATGGCGCCTAGCTGTGAGAGGCGACGGCGGAGGTTCTCTCCGTGAAGCCCCCTTCCAACATTTCCCTTACAAAAGGCGGCCTTTCACAGAGGTGGGAAGGGGTAGAAAGGGGTAGGAAAGGGTAGGAAACGGTAGGGAGAGGTGGGAGGGCGTGCACTTTCAACCAGAACGGAGAGGATGAAAGTGCCACGTGGCGGTCACCTTGTGCACGTTATTAGCATGCGCCAGGATCTGCTGCTCCGCTATAAACGCCCTGAAGTCCTTATCGTCTGGGGGGGACGGAACGCTGCGCACCGCGCCGCTGCTGCCGAACGGGCCGCCGCTACCAGCCGCGCCGCCATAAAGATGACCGTTGGGGTATTCCCGAGGGGACGAGAGGAGTTGCAGGGAGAGTACGACGAGGACGACGCACGCTAGGGCGAAAAGCGGGCCTTGCAGGGATGGATTCGATAAGGACGCCGGATTCGGTATAGGCTTCTGAGAAAGTGGGGGGAGTGCAGGGTTGGTGGCCGGCCGCAAAAGCGCGTCGCGCGAAACCACTCTCATGACGGCTTCGCGATTCCTAAGTTTCAACGGGGAACAATGTGGCCAGTTGGCAACTATGGTGACGTAATGTGCGGGGAGAGGCGGCTGAGAAAACAGTTTTACAAGCTACGGGGTGGTTCATTGGCCTGCTGTGGCCGAGCAAGCCTGGATGATGGCGGTATTGCGAAGGCCTCCATTTCCGATTATTTCGTTATTTGGGCGTAACAGACACACGTCGACTTTCGCCGAAGTGAGCAAGAGGTGAGGTGAGGGTTCGTTGGAAAGGCGAAAACGGAGTGACCAGTTGTGGCTGCGAAAGAGTTCGCCTGGGCGTAGAGTATTGCGTTACTAGATCCGCTGAATGCACAAGTGTTGCGTACAATCAAGAAGACTTGCTAGCTGCAGTAAAGAACTAGAGGAAAGATTGTCAGCTTTTGAAAGTGGACAGTATGGTTAGGAATCGATGAAATTTTGGATAAATGCGTGGGAATACCATTGCTCTATATGCCTAAATTCAGGCTACATGCATAGCAACTTTAAAGGCAGCACGCCCGGATGGTACACTCACCAGCACTTCTTCAGTTCAGCAACAGCCTAACAATATGAACAATGAATATGCCATAAGCATTCAGACCCATCTCGTGGTGAAAAATTAGGCGTGCTACATGCACCACAGTGCATGGGCTATACACTACACCGAACAGAAATACCAGCATAAACACAAGTGTGCTGTACCACGGTCCACCAGCACTATTCCTCCTACAAAGTTGATATGCACTGCACTACTCAGTGAAACTTTGGAAGGCGGGGAAAGTGCAGTTGCAGAAGAATCTGTGCCCAAGAAAACACCGCTTCCTGCAAATGTGCAGACAAGCAGTACCGCAAGCTCGCTCCTGCCCAGCAGTGCAGTTCAGGGGTAGCTCCCTTCACTTGCAACCAGCAGCCCGTTACCAGGACACCAGGTTACCAGTCACCATGGTCCCATGGTGTTACATTACTCCGTTACCAGCAGCTCACTTGAGATGGTTGGCTCGTGCAGCAGGCCAAAGAGACTCAGGTCCGTGGTAATGGTACAGCGCACAGTGGCCGTGCTGTGCAGCACACGTCACAGGCCCACCCCACCCTGTTACAGATTCATGCAGTGGGTTCATGTGGTAGGCTGACGGGACTCCTTAGCCCCGTGGCAATAGTCGAGTCAACAGTGGCAGTGCGGCACAGCACACGCCACACCCACACAGTTACCATGTTACCAGCACTTGACTTCATGCATTGGGTTCGTGCGGCAGGCTGATGAGACTCAGCCCTGTGGCGATGGTCGAATCCACAGTGGCAGTGCGGCGCAGCGTGCCAGATGGCAGCTCCTCATTGGACAGATCGTGCCCGGGCGCGTTGGCAGTCTCCTCCTGCAGCCACTGCAGCACGGCGCTCAGGTCTGCTCGCCTCACCGCGATGTGGCGCCGCGACATGGTGCTGAAGGCTGCTGTTGCCAGTAGGAACTTGAGGAGGGCGTAGCGCTTTAGGGGGGACACTTGCTGGTGGTGGGGGGGGGGGGGGGGGGGGGGAAGAGGTGGGGACTGGTTGAAAGGAAGGAAGGGGATGGGTGGTAAGAGGTGTGACATGGTGCTGAAGGCCGCCGTTGCCAGCAGAAACTTTAAGATTGCGAAGTGCTTCAGAAGGGATACTTGCCGGTACCTTGGAGGGATTTTTTGAGAATTCTCAGAAAATCCCTGCAATATAGTTGGCAGGCAGGGAAGAGGGGTACCTTGGCGAGAAGGAGGTCGAAGACGCCTGGGCGGAAAAAACTGGCAACCGTTCACCACGGACTCCTGGCGTGCCTGTGAGGTGACACATGTGCAGCAACACATGCAGAGGCAAGTGCAGAGACACATGCAAGAAATGTGTGAGACAGGAATGGCTGGGCGGAAGAACTGGCAGCCGTTCACCACTGACTCCTGGCGTGCCTGTGCGGACACACACAGATGTATAGGGACAGATGCAGAGACAAGTGCAGAGGCAAGTGCAGAGACACATGCAAGAAATGTGTGAGACAGGAATGGCTGGGCGGAGGAACTGGCAGCCGTTCACCACCGACTCCTGGCATGCCTATGGGGCCAAACACATGCTGAAACAGATGTGAGATAAGTGTGAAACAGGAGCGCACGATTCTTGTGTAGATTGATTGAAAACCTGCGGGAAGCAGGAATGATTGGAAGAAAAATCTGGCACTGGTTCACCACTGACTCGACCTGACTCCTGCCGTGCCCACACACACACGCATGCAGAGGCAGATGCAGAAAGAAACGGAACATGTGTGTGAAACAGGAAGTGCTGTGCGTGCGGTGCGGACTCGGTGTGTGAGTGACAAGTGTGTGAAGGGACGAGGGGTTTGAGTGTATGATTGTGGAAGTGCGCTTGTGTGTGCTTGTGTGAGTGCGTGCGTGCGAATGTCTCTGTCCGAGTGTGTGCACACGCATACCTCTTGAAAGGCATATGGCAGCGCGAGGAGGTGGAGCAGCAGAGAGAGGACAAGTGTGTGAAGGGACCAGGGATCATAGTGCTTGTGTGTTGAAGTGCGTGTGTGTATGTGTGTGCGCATACCTCTTGAAGGGAATCTGGCAGCTTGAGTAGGTGCAGCAGCAGCGAGAGAATGCGGCGAGATGACGTGACTGCTGCTCGTTGCAGCGAGCTCATGGCCTCACGAAGTACGGTCTAAGAAAGAGTGGGAGTACACATGGGCACAATTCCGAGCATGGTTGGGATTGGGAGACGGGGGGCGGGCCGAAAGAGTGTCAGGCTTGAGAACAATGGGACGAGATGATGTGACAGCGGCGCACTGTAGAGAGATGACTTTTGAGTCGACTCAAAAGTCAACGAGATGATGTGACAGCGGCGCACTGTAGAGAGATGACTTTTGAGTCGACTCAAAAGTCAACGAGATGATGTGACAGCGGCGCACTGTAGAGAGATGACTTTTGAGTCGACTCAAAAGTCAACGAGATGATGTGACAGCGGCGCACTGTAGAGAGATGACTTTTGAGTCGACTCAAAAGTCAACGAGATGATGTGACAGCGGCGCACTGTAGAGAGATGACTTTTGAGTCGACTCAAAAGTCAACGAGATGATGTGACAGTGGCGCACTGTAGAGAGATGACTTTTGAGTCGACTCAAAAGTCAACGAGATGATGTGACAGCGGCGCACTGTAGAGAGATGACTTTTGAGTCGACTCAAAAGTCAACGAGATGATGTGACAGCGGCGCACTGTAGAGAGATGACTTTTGAGTCGACTCAAAAGTCAACTAGATGATGTGACAGCGGCGCACTGTAGAAATATCATGGCCTCACGAAGCAAAGTCTATGAAACCACACACAGACAGGTACGTGGAAAAAAGGGGGAGAGGGAAAATGCAGCGAGGGAAGGGGTGGTGCGAGCAATGCCACAGGTTGAAAGCAGCATGCTGCAGCAAACTCATTGGCCTTGCATAAGCTAACAGGAAAGGAAGGACGGACGTAGAGACGTACGATGCTTTCGCTCTCGTTGCCAAAGGAGATGTACAGGAGGAGAGAGATGGTGTCGTGGTTGTCCAGATTGGATGTGATCTGGGGGAAGGGATGGGAGCGGGCGAGAGGAGTGGGAAGAGGAAAGGGGAAATGGGAGAGGAGGTTACCAGGAAAGCAGAAACTTGAGAATTCAGAAAAATGTGCAACATGGTATCCCCTGCCTCCGTCCATCCCACACCAGCACAGAGTATCCAACACGTTAGTGGCAACTTGACATGGTTACCTCACCAACATTCCACACCAGCATAGACAGAAACTACTAACCAGCAAATTGACGTATTCCGGATCCGACGCAAGCTGAGCAACACGGGGCGGCAGCACCGCCACCGGGCGGCCAAAAAACGCCGGATTTTGCAACCCAGCGTCCTCCTCCTCCTCCCCCTCCTCTTCCGCCTCCCCCACTGCCCCTGCCGCCCCTGCAGACACCCCACTACGCCCCTTCCGCCTCTCTCCCCCCCCTTGCCCTGCCTTCCCCTTGCCCCTCTCTTCCTTCCCATGCGGCCTCCCCTCCCCCTTCCTCCTCCCCCCTCCCTTGCCATGCGCTCTTGCTTCCCCTCCCCCCTCGTCCCCTTCCCCTCCCCCCTCCTCATCACCCCCCTCGTTCCCCCCAGATGCGGGGGTGGAAGCGGGGGTGGGGCGGCGAGAGGGGGGTGGGCGGGGGTGACAGGAACGGATGAGGATGGAGAGGAGGGAGTGGAGGGGCGAGAGATGCAGCCTGGCTGCTGCTGCAATGCCCACTCGATCGAGATAGTCCAGCTGGAAAGGGGGAGAGGGGAAGGGAATGGGTAAAGAAAAATGTGGAGGTGAGTCAAGAGACTGGGGACAACTGGGGGTGGCAGGAACTGATGAGGATGGAGAGGAGGGGGTGGAGGGGCGAGAGATGGAGCTTGGCTGCTGCTGCGATTCCCACTCGGTCCAGATAGCCCAGCTGCAAGGGGGAGCGGGAAGGGGGCGGGGTGAAGGAAAGGAAATGAGCTGAGTCAAGAGAAAGGGGACAACTGGGGGTAGCAGGAGCGGATGGGGATGGAGAGGAGGGAGTGGAAGGGAGAGAGATGGAGCTTTGCTGCTGCTGCGATTCCCATTTGATCGAGATTGTCCAGCTGCAGACGGGGAAGGAAGTAGGACGAGTAGGCAGAAGGCATTGAGGACAGCAAAGCACAATGGGAAAAGCATAAGACGAACATACTCTTTCCGTGTTCGCTTCTAACGCATGTACGCAGGCATTGCTCTAGACCGACCACACGGTGGGAGAGCATAGCTCTCCAACACGCACCAACAGCACTTCCAGCACTCAACGCAAGCTCACTCTCCAAGTATAGGTGAGGCGGGCAACTTTCGGTGGATAAGAATTGAGACGTCTCAAAACACCACCCAAGGCAGAGCGAGGCTGGGCCAGCTCACGGCACTTATCACAGCCTCACAGCACCTCAAAGCACTTCACAGCACCTCAAAGCACTTCACGGCACCTCAAAGCACTTCACGGCACCTCAAAGCACTTCACGGCACCTCAAAGCACTTCACGGCACCTCAAAGCACTTCACGGCACCTCAAAGCACTTCATGGCATCTCAAAGCACTTCACAGCACCTCACAGCACCTCACAGCACCTCACAGCACCTCACAGCACCTCACAGCACCTCACAGCACGTACACAGGTGGCGGGCAGCTGTCTGCGAATGAGGGAGAGGCGCTGGGTGGGGCCGATGCGTGCATACTCCACCAATATGCTGCACAGCTGCAGGGAGTGGCCGGGGGGAGGGGAATGAGAGGAGAGCGCAGAGTCAAGCACAAGGAGGAAGGTAAACGGCTGGTTGGTGGATGAGGGAGAGATGCCGTGTAAGGCCGATGCAGGCATATTTCACCAAGCTGCAGAGCTGCAGGGCGGGGAAGGGAGGGCAGGGGAGCAAGAGGAGAGAGGAATGACAAGCACAGAGCAGGGAGGTGAAGGGCTGGATGCTGGGTTGGGTTGATGCGGGCATACTCCACGAAGATGCTGCAGAGCTGCAGGGCGGGGAAGGGAGGGGAGAGGAGGGAAACAAGAGGAGAAAAGAAAGCACTTTTGTGTTGAGAGGTCCCAAAGATGGGGGTAGGGGTGGGGGAGGGGAGGGGAGCAAGAAGAGAGAATCGAGCGGGGAGCTATATAGCTATCAAAACCAGCAGAAATCGGGTAACCAGAAGTAAACAGGGTAACCACAAGAATCATGACTAGCCAGCAGGTCACTCACGTTGTCCACGTGGCAGGAGGGGGCACTGGCGTCTCTCCGCAGCGACACCATCGAATCAATCAGCGCGTCCACATTCGATGCATCTTGCTTTTGAGAATTCTCAATAGTAGCTCACTCACGTTGTCAACACGTCAGATGGGGGAAATGCGTCTCTCAACAGTGACACCAGCGAATCAATCAATGCGTCCACATTCGATGCATCTTCTTGAATTCACAAAAATAGATCACTCACGTTGTCCACGTGGCAGGAGGGGCCACTGGCGTCTCTCAGCAGCGACACCAGCGAATCAATCAGCGCGTCCACATTCAATGCATCTTCCCCTGCCGCACCTGCCCCTGCCCCTCCTGCTGCTCCAGCTGCCCCAGCATCCCCTGCCGACCCTTCAGGAGCTCCTCCTGCTGCAGCAGCAGCCGCAGCAGGAGTTGCAGTGGGCACTGTTGAACCAGCAGCCAATGGACGTGCGTTAACGAAGCAGGTGGCGCTGTGACAGCTGGTTACCAGCAGATCCGCTACAGCCTGGTGGAAAAGGGGGAAGGGGAAAGGAGGTGGGAGGAGGTGCATTGAGGCCCTGCTAGTGATGTGACAGTTTACCAGCAGGTCTGCAACAGACTGGTGGGAAGGATGGGGGGAAGGAAGGGAGGTGGAAGGTGACGGGTGGGAGGAGGTGCATTGAGGCCTTGCTATAAATGTGGCAGCTGGTTACCAGCAGGTCGGCTACAGACTGGTGGAAAGAGGGAAGGAGAAAAGAGGTGGATGGAGTTGATGGGAGCATTTCATTCTCCGTTTGAGAATTCGCAACTGAACGTGATTCAGCTAAGACGTACCACGGAGATGGCGTTGATGGGGCATTTGAGGAGGAATCGCAAGAGCCACCACAGCCTCTTGTTGCAAAGCGTGCATTAAGAGACCTCGCGAAAGTCGACATACCACAGAGATGGCGTTGATGGGGCATTTAAGGAGGAAGTGCAAGAGCCACCGCCTGTTGCCCGCTGCTATGCTCACATTGTGACATCTCACAACTCAACGTACCACGGAGATGGCGTTGATGGGGCACTTGAGGAGGAAGTGCAAGAGCCACCGCCTGTTGCCCGCCATGCGCGCGTTGAAGAGGCGACATGCTGTGCTGTTGGCGTCCAGCATGCGCGATAGCACGTCCTGTGGTGTGGTGTGGGGTGGTGTGATGTTATGCATTGGGGGAATGGAACAATGAGGGGGAGCACACGAGTGTTGAACGTTGAAGAGGCGGCAGGCCGTGCTGTTGGCGTCGAGCATGCGAGATAGCACGTCCTGTGGGGCATTGCAATGGGAGGAGGAGAATGTGCAAGGGGAGAGGAGTGAGTTGAGCCAACAAGACACATATCAGAGCGTTGCTCGCCAGCCTGGCGTTGAAGAGGCGACAGGCTGTGCTGTTGGCGGCCAGCCTCTGTCATAGAACTGGAGTGAAGGCTACAATTTTCTGACAGTGATGTGATGCGTCGAGGGGGATGGAATCATGGAACGAAGACGGGGCGAGGGGAGAGAGCGGGGAGTGTTGCCCCAGCCATGCATCTACCAACCCCCATCTGCCACTCACCATCTAATGGGGATCTTCTGTCCTGAGGTTGGCATGCACTTGCAATTGCAAGTGAGTCTGGAAGAGGAACGGCAGTGGTAGCGGAAGATACAGTACACCCCCTCTATCCCCTTCTCCCACCGGCCCCTTACCGTCCAGAGAGGGTCTTCTGTCCTTAAGCTGGCATGCGCTAGGAAGTAGATACGGAAGCGGAATGGCAGCAGCGGCAGCAGCAGCGGCAGCAGCAGCAGACGAAAGGGGAAACATTCCCTCTTTTCTATCCTGTCCCTCACCATCACCCCCTTACCGTCCAGAGAGGATCCTCTGTCCTTAGGCTGGTATGCGCACACAAGTAGACGCGGAAGAGGAACGGCAGCAGCAGCAGGTGAAAGGAGAATCGTTCCCTCTATACTATTCAATTCTCTCCCCCCACATTGGCCCCTTACCGTCCAGAGAGGATCCTCTGTCCTTAGGCTGGTATGCACACACAAGTAGACCCGGAAGAGGAATGGCAGCAGCAGGAAGAACAACTATCATCCCCTTTATTCCGCCCCACAAGCCCCTTACCGTCCAGAGTGGATCCTCTGTCCTTAGGCTGGCATGCGCTCTCAGGTAGACGCGGAAGAGGAACGGCAGCAGCAGCGACAGCAGCGCCTCTGCCGTCTCCTCTGCTGCTCGCTCCACCCGCAGTGCTTCGCTGCGCTGTGGTGACGCCTTCACCCCGCCTGCCCTTGCGTCTGATAAGGCCGCCATCTTGCCTCGATCGTGGCACCTGGTAAGGGGAAGGGACGTGGGGAGGAAGCAGATAGGCTGTGACAAGGCAGCAAGGGGAAGAAACATGGATGTCTCATGGCATGTTGAGGAAATGACATGTCAATGGTGATTCGCGAGGCAACAACAGCTCTCTAGGTGCCTCGAACATCGTCTTTTTCGCGACAGGCGGTGATGAAAATGGGATGGGGAAGGCAAAGGAAGGAAGGTGGTGGGGACTGACATTTGGAAGACGTCGAGGTTGACCCGTGCGAGCTGCAGCAGGAAACGGAAGTATGTCTGATCCAACAGCCGCGACTCCTGCTGAAACCTGTTCAATGGATGGACAGAGGAAGGGGGACGGTGGGAAGGGATAAGTATATTCGTTTCAAGGTCCCTCATGTATGATCCAATCCAATAGCCGTGACTCCTGCTCGCATCGCACCTGCCATGAACACGGATGGATGCACAGAGGCAGGGAAAGCCCTGTGCTGAGGAGAACCGATGGGAAGGAATGCGTGTTTGTTTCAAAATGCCTCATACATGGGAGCAAGCGTCTGTACATCCGGGCCAGCAGCTGTGAGTACTGGTGCTGGATACATGAGGGGGGGAGGGTGGCAAGGGATGATTGTGGTTCGCTGTGAGGTGACTCGAATACACATGGGAGTCCAAGCATATGTGGATCAGCAGCAGCCATCCTGCTTCTGACCTACGTAATGCCGTTGTCCCCTACCTACCTGAGGTTGTCTTGCCACACGCAGTGGTGTATGCTGGGAGGGATGCTATATGGCTCCACCGCTTCATCTACCCTCTCCTCTGCTGCTGTGCATGGGGTGATCATGGTGGTGGTGGTTGGGCCGCCTGCTGCTGTCTCTGCCGTTGCTGCGGCTGCTGGCGCCTCTCCTGTTGCCCTCAGCCCTTCTGCAGTTGCAGCTGTATTGACAGCACCACCGGTGGCAGTGGTGGCAGCAGTGGTGGTGGCAGTGGTAGCGGCAGGGGCATCGGCAGCCATAGCAGCAGTACTGGTGGTGCTGGCGCCAGCAGCAGTGGGGGCATTCCGCTCATAGAACAGCATGTAGGCGCTGTTGGGTCGGTCAAACTCCTGTGGCGAAGAGGTCTTGATGAGGTTGTCATACACCTCAGCGGAGTACTTCCCTCCGAAGCAGTCCTTCTCCAACTCCCTCACATCGTATGCCTCCACCCGCTTGTCATCGAAGCACAGCCACCGCTGCCTGCATACACACAGAAGTGGGGGGTGTGAATGTGTGTGACTTCAGTCCACTCCCAAGCAGTCCTTCCCCACCTCTCTCACGTCGTATGCCTCCACTCCACCCGCTTGTCATCGAAGCACAGCCACCGCTGCCTGTAAGAACACACAGGGGGGTGGGTGGCACAAGTGCATGTGCATGCATGAGTGCAGCCTCGTGGTGACCCAAAAGCCCGTGCCTTCTCCACCTCTCTCACGTCGTACGCCTCCACCCCACCCGCTTGTCATCGAAGCACAGCCACCGCTGCCTGTAAGAACACACAGGGGGGTGGGTGGCACAAGTGCATGTGCATGCATGAGTGCAGCCTCGTGGTGACCCAAAAGCCCGTGCCTTCTCCACCTCTCTCACGTCGTACGCCTCCACCCCACCCGCTTGTCATCGAAGCACAGCCACCGCTGCCTGTAAGAACACACAGGGGGGTGGGTGGCACAAGTGCATGTGCATGCATGAGTGCAGCCTCGTGGTGACCCAAAAGCCCGTGCCTTCTCCACCTCTCTCACGTCGTACGCCTCCACCCCACCCGCTTGTCATCGAAGCACAGCCACCGCTGCCTGCACACACTCAGGGGGGTGATATGACGAGTGCATGTGCATGCATAAGAGTAAGTCCTGGCCTTCTCCAGCTCTCTCACGTCATACGCCTCCACCCCACCCGCTTGTCATCGAAGCACAGCCACCGCTGCCTGCACACACACATGGGGGTTGAGATGTTGCACACAACAGGGGGGTGAGAATGAGTTTAAATCTTCACACATGCATGCATGGGCCGCCATACCTTCTGATGCCGCTCGCTCCCGTTGACTTAGTTTGACTCTCTTCCGACCACTCACACATCCCCTTGACCCGCTTTGACTTTGTCTGATCCGATCCACTGCAGCTCTGCTTGACCCACGTTGACTCGCTCAGACCATTTGCAGCTCTGCTTACCTCGCTTTCACTCCTTCTGACTTTGTCTGACCCAATGCAACTCTGCTTGACCCACTTTTGACTCGCTCAGCCATCGTCTCACCCACTGCCCTCCGCTTGACTCACTTCGACCGCACGGATTGAGATGGACGGCTGTGATGCAGCGGAGAATCGCCGCTCCTCTCCTTGATGTACGAGTAATAATGCCCCGCAAACGCTGTCCCAGAATGCACCACCACCCCCACCAAGCTGTACTCATAATACCCATCATTCCTCCCCTCCCCACCCTCACCTCCCTTCTCCTCCACACGTCCTTCAACCCTATCCTCATTTACTTCCTTACCACTTCCAGGCCCCCTTTCTCCTTTACCCTCCTCCTCCACCCTTCGCTGCGCCCTCTCCTCCCCCTCTCCCTCCTCCCGCCCCTGCTCTCTCTCTCCCCCCTCCTCCCTCCCCTCCGCCCTCCTCTCCACATCCCCTACCCGTCCCCTTCTCTGCTCTCTCTCCTTCTGAGCGAGCCCCTCGCGGGTGAAAGGCCGCATGTTGAGAGTGAGGGGGAAGGTGAATCGGTCCTTCAGCTTCAGCCGCTGCATCGTCTCGTAGTCAAAGTCGAAGCGCTTCAGGTGAATTATCAGGGTGGGCGGCAGGGTCTTGATGCACGCACGCTTCAGTGCGTCCACCTGAAAAAGGTACAGGCATGATGAGGGGCGAAACGTGGGCAGAGTGTGGAGCAATTTTTATTTTATTTGGTCGGCCCAAAAGGCAGGGACTTGATGCACACACGCTTCAATGCATCCACCTGCAGCAAGCAGTACGGGTAAAACGAGGGGTGAGTGAGGGATGTAACGAGGGACAAAATGGGGAAAGATTTTTGTTTCTTTAGGCGGCTCAAATGGGCGTTAAGGCATAGAGCAACTCTGCACACTTCCCTCACAAACACCACCACCACCCACCAACAACCCCATCCCCTGCCACTCACCTTCTTGCCGCACTGCCTACAGAAGTAGGCGTTATCTGCCTCCAGCAACAGCACTAAGGCAATAAAGCAGGCATTGTGATGCTCGGTGCTCTTCAAACACCGCCCTGCCTAGCTACCCCCTGCTGCTGCCACTCACCTTCTTGCCGCACTGCCCACAGAAGTAGGCATTATTTGCCTTGAGCAGGTCCCCTTGCACAAACGCCTCCAGTGACTCCTGCAGGCCGCGCTCGCCCTTCAGCATTCAGGCAACGTGGCGTGCTGTGGTGCTTTCTGCATCGACTCACAAGCCCATTGTACTCACCACCCACCCACCCTCTGCTGCCGCTCACCTTCTTGCCGCACTGCCCACAGAAGTAGGCGTTATCTGCCTCCAGCACAGCAGGTCGCCTTGCACAAACGCCTCTAGCGACTCCTGCAGGCCACACTTGCCCTTCAGCAGCACTAAGGCATTGTGAGGGCAGGCACTGTGGCGCTCAGCTTAACATCATCCACCACCCTAACGCCCTGCTGCGGCTCACCTTCTTGCCGCACTGCCCACAGAAGAAGGCGTTATCTGCCTCCAGCAGGTCGCCCTGCACAAACGCCTCTAGCGACTCCTGCAGACCGCGCTTGCCCAGCAGTGTGCAAGCAGGCATTGTGGCAAGCTGTGGTGCCTTTGAGTCGACTCATCATCACAACACCCCCCTGCTGCGGCTCACCTTCTTGCCGCACTGCCCACAGAAGTAGGCGTTATCCGCCTCCAGCAGGTCCCCTTGCACAAACGCCTCTAGAGACTCCTGCAGACCGCGCTTTCCCTTCACGTCCACACTCACTGCTGCGAATGGCTCCTCCCTCTCACTGCGATGGGGGCAGCCTCGACAGATGATCTGCACAGGGGAAAGAGGAAAGGGAAGGGAGGGAATGAGGGAGATGCGTGTCTGGTGATAAAGGGGGGAAAAAGCCTCTAGAGACTCCTGCAGACCGCGCTTTCCCTTCACGTCCACACTCACTGCTGCGAATGGCTCCTCCCTCTCACTGCGATGGGGGCAGCCTCGACAGATGATCTGCACAGGGGAAAGAGGAAAGGGAAGGGAGGGAATGAGGGAGATGCGTGTCTGGTGATAAAGGGGGGAAAAAGCCTCTAGTGACTCCTGCAGACCGCGCTTTCCCTTCACGTCCACACTCACTGCTGCAAATGGCTCCTCCCTCTCACTGCGATGGGGGCAGCCTCGACAGATGATTTGCAGCACACGGGGAGGGAGGAGGAGTGGGGTGGGGGTGGTGGTTGGAAGTGGGGACGGGGAGGTGTGGTAGGGAGAAGATAGGGGGGGATAGGCATCACACCACATCACACCACATCAAACCACATCACACCACATCACACTACACTACACCCACCCCTGCCCCTCCCACCGCACCACACCACGCACCTGTTGAGCGAACGCGCCACCAAAGATAGAAGTCAGTGTGGGGGAGAGCCGTTGAGCCTTCATGCTCTCATCCAGAGAGTCATAGAGGCGGTTGAAGAACTCAAAGGCGGTCCAACACATACATACCATAAGCATGCTGCAGGAACTACCATCCCACGCACACACACACACACCTGCTGTGCAAAATGTCCGCCAAAAATGGAGGTGAGCGTGGGGGAGTGCCGCTGAGCCTTCATGCTCTCATCCAGCGAGTCGTAGAGGCGGTTGAAGAACTCAAACGCGTCCTGGTGCTCCCTCAGGTTCACCGGCTGCCCATCATAGTCCCTGAAGGCATCCCAGAAACCTTCTGGCACGAAGTAGTCGGCACAGCCGGCTAGCAGATAGCTGAAGATGGCCTGCAGTGGAAGACGGGGAGAAGATGGGAGAGATCTTAAAAGAAGAGAAGAGTAAAAGAGGAGACGGCAGGACGAGGGGAAGGGAGGTCAGGGAACGAATCATGTGTCATCGCCTGTATATCACCTTCGTGTCGCATTTGAGAATTCTTAACAGAAACAGAGGGAATGAAACACAGCGCAGTGCAGTGGAGGCTATCTGTACCCCTCAATAGCCTGTCCCAGTAGAAGGCATAAGTCCCGCATATTACCTGCACTTGGTAGATCACGGATAGTGGTCGGTCCGACTCGGGCGTCTCAGGAAAAGCGAGGAGGGCGCGGCGCACTTGGGGCTGCATGAAGAGCTGCTGGAACACACTGTTCATGTAGCACGTGGCTCCTGGTGGGCAAGACAGGATGGTCAATGAGAGAGGGAAGACAAGTTACTGAGCTGACTATAGAGGCACTTGGGTGAAGCTGTATGAAGAGCTGCTGAAAACACTGTTCATGTAGCACGTGGCTCCTGGGAGGGAGGCAAAACATGTGAGTTTGAATGGGAAGCATAGAGAGGCTCTTGAGTTGACTTGAACGGCCCTTGGGGCTGCATGAAGCGCTGCTGGAACACACTGTTCATGTGGCACGTGGTTCCTTGGGATGGGGACAGGTAAAGCAGGGACAAGGTGCGGAGGGAAACAGCAGCCTCAACGTTTGAGTTGACTCAACAGGCGCTGGGGGCTCCATGAAGGCATTTCATGCTGTTCATGCAACAGACGCTGGACATTTCATGCTGTTCATGCAACAGGCGCTGGACATTTCATGCTGGAATACACTGTTCATATCGCACGCTCCAGTTTTGGAGCGTCAGGTGCAAGCAGCATAGCTTGAGACCAGCTGCTCGCTCCTATAGGCTGCACGTGGCCGGGGAGGGGAGCACAGCTGGGGAGGTATTTCCATGACGGCAGCTCATGCTCAAGAGAGGCAAAGCGCATTGAGATTTGTGAGCGGCGGCAAGGTCTTGTAGCCTTGACGGAACGCATGCAGGACATACATGTATTCTTGCACGGCATACAGGCATTCTTGCACGGCCTACATTTTTGGTACATACCTGCATTCTTGAGCCCCGCGTATCCCACCCGAGGCCGAGGGGCGCAGCTGGGGAGGTACTCCCACGACGGCAACTCGTGCTCCACCGAGGCGAAGTGCAGCTAGATTCACGAGGAGCAGCAAGGTGTGCTAGTATACACAAGTACCTGCGTTCTTGAGACCCGAATAGCCTGCCCGAGGCCGGGGGGCGCAGCTGGGGAGGTACTCCCATGATGGCAACTCGTGCTCCACCGAGGCAAAGTGCAGCGGCAGCAGCAGGGAGGCCAGCTCACGTAGGGCTTCAGGGGTCTGCGTGGAAGAGAGAGGGGGGAAGAGAGGAGCGAGGGGAAGAGAGGAGAGAGGGGAGAAGAGGGGATAACAGGTGAAGGGGGGAGTGCTATGAGGCGCCTTGAAGCTCCACCGAGGCAAAGTGCAACGGCAGCAGCAGCGAGGCAAGATCGCGTAGAGCTTTCAAAGTCTGTGTGGTGGAGGCAATGGGAGGAAGGAAGTCACAGGTTGCGGGAAAATGCTGTGAGGCATATTAATGCAATGGCAGCAGCAACGTTACTAGCTCCCGTAGGGCTTCTGGGGTCTGTGTGGAGGAAAGAGAGGGGAGAACGACTGGCAGAAGAAGGAGTGTTCTGAGTAGGGCGAATCTACAGTAGCCTCGAATGTTTCAACCTAATGTCACATGTAAGAGAAACTTAACAGTAACCCCGCGCTGCTGCAGAGGGGAAGGAGGTGTGTGAATGCAGCGTTGCAGGAGGACGAGGAGGAGAGGATAGGGCGAAGGGGCTTTTGAGTTGGTTCAAAATGAGCAGCAACATCCGCCGTAGCAGTTTGAAAGCTATAAAGTGATGTGAAACAAACACACAAACAAACACAAGCATGCACACACACGCACGCATGCATGCACGGGCACACACAGACACACACACGCACGCACGCAAGCACGCACGCACGCACACACACACACACGCACGCACGCATGTACACACCTTGGCGCAGAGGGCGATGAGAAGCGTGAAGGCAGCATTGCGCGAGGGCGAGGCGGAGCAGAGGGGGCGGAAAACTGCAGCATCGCGGGGATGAGAGGAGAGAAGCCCCCAGGTCGTTGGGGGGGAGGATTCGCCAGGCGGCTGCTGCTGTTGTTGCTGGTGTTGTTGTTGTTGGTGGTTGTGGTGGTGGTGTTGTTGGTGTTGCTGCTGTGTCGGTTGTATTTGCTGGTGGCTTGGAACAACCACCGGCCATTCAGGGAAGAGGCAGCGAGTGATGAGCTGCCGGGAGGGGAAAGAGGGAGGGAGCGAGAAATGGAGGCGACAATGAATAAGAGGAAATCGATCAAAAAGCAGAAACATGCCCGGTGGTAAGAACCAGAAACATCAACTTATGCTGATGGGAACATGCCATAATCCTGGCTTTTGAGTCGACTGGAAAATGGTGCACTCAACCAAAACCTCATTTTCTTGTACTCTACCCCTCTACCTCTCCCCTCTTCCTCCCAGCACACAGCGTACCAGGTGCAAAATTCCATGGCCGTGTGGTGGAGAGCAGGCAACGAGCTGGCGGCACTCTAACACCTCCACGAGCACCTTGAGCAGCAGCAGATGGCCCTCCAGCAGCTGGGGTGGAGCATGGCAAGGAAGGCGAAGCAGAAGGTTATGAGCATTAGGTTTGTGGAGAGAGGGCACTCTAACACCTCCACCAGCCCTTTGAGCAGCGCCAGATGGCCTTCCAGCAGCTGGGGTGTGGTGTGGGAAGAAGAAGGAAGGCAATAACGACTGACTGTTAAAAGTGGGCACTCCAGCACCTCCACGAGCACCTTGAGCAGCAGCAGATGGCCCTCCAACAACTGGGGTGAGGCAGGGAGGGAGAAACTTGTTAGCATTATCAGGTTTGTAGAAACGGGGCACTCCAACACCTCCACAAGCAGGCAGCACCTCCACGAGCACTCTGAGCAGCAGCAGATGGCCCTCCAAAAACTGGGGTGTGGTGTGGCAAGGGGGAAAACTCTTCAGCGTTGAGTCTGGTTGACTCTCCGACACTGTATAGAAATGAGCATTCCAGTTTCAAGAGCATTAGCATTGGAGGTGTAGACTCTCCAACACCTCCACAAGCACCTTGAGCAGCGGGGAATGGTCGTCCCTTGAGAAGGGGAGAGAGGAGGTGAGCAAAGATAAGGAGGTGAACGGACAAGGAGAATTAGATAGACACGCACCTGAGACGAGTTGGTTCTTGAGAAAAAAACGAAGCCGAGTGTAAATCTTCTATGCGCTCTCTCATCTCTTCATGTTTGCGAACCTCCTCACTCCTCACCTCTTCCCTGCCGTCCATTTCCCATGTCACGTGCTGCAGCCAGCGAATCTCCTCGTCCAGAAGCTTCCTGACAGCTTCCTCCTCGTCTCGAAGATACACCCCCTGCACCACCTTGCATAGCAACTCCCAGTACTGGAGGGGGGGGAGGGTGGGGAAAGAGGGGAGGAGAGGGAGATCGAGAGACGTCATCAGAGGAAATATGACGCATAGGAGCAACCAGCGGGTGCACCACCTTGCATAGCTGCTCCCTCCCAGTACTGGAGGGGTTGAGAGAAGGGGGGATGAGAGGGGGGGTTTGGAGGGGGGGGGGGGGAGGGGGGGGGGGGTTTGAGAGAAGTGGGGTTGAGATGAGAGGAGAGAGGGATAAACAGACGTCAACAAAGGAGATGTCCCCTCCACCGCAAAGAAAGCAAAAGCATTGATGCAACGTTCCTGTCCACCACTCCACCGCTTCTCACCGCTCTGCACAGCTTGGTCGTGCACTCACTGGTCTGTTGTGTTTTGGTTGCTTGTCAGCAGCAGCGCGGGCAGAGGCGAGGGAGTGGAAGATGTAGGAGTGGATGGATGTGAAGGGGCGTGCAGTAAGGCCTGGGAGGCCGAGAGTGGCACCAGCCTGGCCTGTCACTGCTGCTGCTGCTCGTGATGCCGTTGCTGCTGCTGCTGCTGGTAGTGCTGTGGAAGCTGGTGCGACTGGTGGTGCTGCTGGCTGTGTGGTGGAGGAAGGAAGGGGCGGCCACTTCTCCAAGCTGTTGCGTTGGGAGGACGGTTGGGCGGGAGAATGGGAGCACACAAGAAGAGAGATGAGGGGGGAAAGGGTTGATTACGTGCGTGCGTGCGTGCGTGCGTGCGTGCGTGCGTGTGTGTGTGTGTGTTGGCACGGTGCTAGCAGGAGGACTGGATGGCTGGGCTGGGAAAACGATACAGAGGAATGTCAATTTCGTAGAGGTAAGTAAATATCAGGGTTGAAAAAAAAAAAAAAACAACAACAACAACAATAAAACTGGAAACAAGCAAACTACATATTTTGATGGACACCAGCACAGTACCTTATGTGGAGAAAGAGCTCCGCGAATTTGTATCGAATCTCGGTTTCTGGGCAGTGCAAGCAGGTGTCCTGGGGGGAGGTGCCAGCGTGGGAAGAAGAGGGGACGGGACGGCAAGCGAATTAGTGGTGGGCAGGAGCAAGAAACGTTAGGAGAGGCAGGGCACAAGGCGATAGGGAAAGGAAGAGCTTTGAAGTTGATTCTGAAAACATCCTGTAATAGGGGCAGGCGAGGCGAGCTGAGAGAATCCAAGAGGTGTGTGCAGAAGAAGCGGGCACAAGGAGAAGGATAAGGATTCATTCATAGCGAACAATTCAGGGCACAAGAGCAGCAAAGGTGAAACCACGAGCGAGTCATGAGGCAATTCCAGAAAGTCGGAGTGATTACCCTCAAAGGGAAGGGTACGGATGCATTTGTGGTGAACATTCATTGAACAACGTCCTCATACATATGATTACTAGAGAGAAAGATGCTGTTGGCCACAGCAACGATTGTTGACCGCACATCGTGGCGTGGTGGAAAGAAAGGAATGGGATGGAGAATGTTGAATGGAAGGGGACTCACAACGATGAATCTGGAAACGAAATGAGTGTTGAATGGAAGGGGACTCACAACGATGAATCTGGAAACGAAATGAGTGTTGAATGGAAGGGGACTCACAACGATGAATCTGGAAACGAAATGAGAGGCGAAGAGGATGGCGGCGATCTCTCGCCGGCGGGCCAGGCACTCAGACTGCGAGGACAGACAAAAGGAGAATGGGAGGAAAGGGGGGCGAAGGGGAGTGGGGGAAGAGGGAGTGAAGACGGGGAAATGGCGATCTCTCGCCGGTGGCCCAGGCACTCAGACTGCGAGGACAGAGAAAGGAGGAGAGGAGAGGAAAGAAAAATGGATTGAGGAGGAAAGGAGAGGAAAGAAGGAAAGGTGGAGCGAGGGTTAAGTGGGAAAAGATGAAGGAGGATGGTGACTTTTGAGGCGCCTTAAAGCCAGGGTCTCACGTACAGCAAGTGTTTTGCAATTGATGGTTGACTCTTGGATATGATTGGTTGGCGAGGTGTAAGATTTGTAGAGGGGTGAAACGAGGAGTGCGAAGAGAACGCGAATAGCCAGACCCCCTTGAACCTTCTAGGTCTGGGAATTTGGTTGGGAACCAAACCTAAAATGCCCCTAGCGCATCGAAACTCTCACGTACACAATAAATGTTTTGCAATTGCTCTTGGGGCACTCACGGGGGTGTGTCGCAAGCTCAGTTTCCAACCCAACCAGAGAACTTGGTGTGCACTAACTAGGTAACCGAGCTTCAACTGTTTTGCAGTTGATGGAAGTTTTCTCTACGTGAGACCCTGGCTATAAAAGACGAAGGAGGATGGTGGCAATCTCTCTTTGGCAGCCCAGGCATTTGGATTGGAGAAAAGAGAAATGCGAAAAGGAGAGGTGGGGGGTTGGGGGAAGGGGGGGCGGAGACGGGAGTGAGGGGAAGTGGGAAAGAAAATGGATGGAGGGGATAATTTTAACAATGTTCTAGGAAGAAACGGTTTAGGAAAGGATCCCTTCCTAAAACAGGCACTTGTGTTTTAAGAAGGCGGACAAGGAAGGGTACACGTAAAGAGAGAGCAAAGGTGAAATTGGGATTGAGGAAAAGAGGAGGGGTGGTTGGAGCAGAAGAGAAAGCTGAAAACCACACTCACCAGCACCACTGCTCCTTCTATCGCCAGGCACGCATCATCAGGATGCAACGGTGAATCCGCCCCATCCTCATCCGCTTCCTCCTCATCATCCTCGTCCTCTGATTCATCGCTCTCCTCCCCTCCCCCCTTCCCCGAGCCGGCCCGCTCCACCCGCTGCTTTAGCCCAGACTGCAGGGCCAGGTGCTGCCAATGGTGGGAGCAATGGGAGATGGGAGAAACAGGAGAGACGGTTAAGGGACGGGAGGGATGGAAGGGAAAAGCAGGAGAGAGGGGTGTAAAAAGAAGGATGAAAGCTGGAAGAGAGCCCTACAGGTGAATCAGGGAGCAGCGAAGTGACATGGGTTTTAGCAGGTGTGGGTTGCATTACACATTCATAATGTATGTAGGTATGCATTGCACATTCATGATGTATGTAGGTATGCATTGCACATTCATGATGTATGTAGGTATGCATTGCACATTCATGATGTATGTAGGTATGCATTGCACATTCATGATGTATGTAGGTATGCATTGCACATTCATGATGTATGTAGGTATGCATTGCACATTCATGATGTATGTAGGTATGCATTGCAAGGGCTTGCCTTGGAGGAGCACAAGAGGACAATCTAGCAAAAATATAATTTTATAGGCGCCTAAAATTTTGTATTTGACAAGCACAAGAGGACATTTAAACCACTAACATGCACGCACATTTGGTATGAACGCATGCATCAACACATGGACGCATGCACACATGCAGCTCTGCATGGGTACATTTCTTGTGTGCACGCATACATACATACACCGTGCACAATTCACTCACAGCAACAGCTGCTGCAGTATCGAATGCATGCGGATTGGGTGACCCCATCGCCTGCAACGAGCCGATCGATGCCGCCCAGGCGAGCATCATGATGGTATTGGTGAGCTCTGACCAATCAGCCGGCAGCAGGGTTGACGGCGCATCCATTATCTGTGGGGGCAGTAAGGAGAGGAATCAGTTATGATTCTCCCCGTGCAAGTAACAAAACGCACGAGACCGAACTGAGGGTGCATCAGAATTTTTTACACGCCTGAAGAAATAAAACGCATGGGACAAAAATGAGGTGGATCAGAGCAGCAGACTGGTGTCTGTCGCAGCGTGGTGAAGCTGGGAGAAAGCGGTGGGGAATGAGACTTACTGCTACAAATGGCGGCACATCCCTTTCAGGCACAGGGGCCACTGCTGCTGCCGGAACAGGGGCTGCCGTCGCCGCTGCTAACGAGTCTACAGCAGCTGCTTCTACCACTGCTTGCTGCGCTGGTGCTTGTGCTGCTCCAGCAGCACCTGCTGCAGGAGGCTGAGGAGTTGGGGCGTCCTCGCTAGGAACAACCCCTTTATTGGCAGCATTTTCACAAGTATCTACAGTGAGTCCGCCGTTATCTAGAATGTCCTGTACTTCCACGTCTTCCTCCTCCCCCTCGTCCATCCCCTCACCCACCCTCTTTGCTTCCGCTACCACCACTGTGCCATCCGCCCTGCAGGGAACAACACCAAAGGCACACACAGGCACAGGTAGAGGTTGTACAGGAAATGAATCACCTCACCAGATGCGACAACTTGGCTCCAACAGAAAATAAAGAAAGAAAGAAAGAAAAGAAAGAAAGAAAGAAAGAAATACTTCCAATCAGTCCAGCCCAAAATTCACCTCAGCAAAGGCCAGAGAAGAATAGAAGAGCTGATTGGATAGATATCGCATTAGAGTTAACAAAGAAAGAACAATCCCTTATTTATTCAACTCAAAAGCAATGGTTTGTTGTTCAGCAATACACCACTTACCAGATAAAAGAAAGTTGGCTCAGTGGCAACGAGAGGCAGAGCAGCTGCTGGCAGCTTATAAAGGGCCTCGAAAGAGGCCGAGTGGCTGCTGGCAGCTTATAAAGGGCCTTGAAAGAGGTAGAGTGGCTGCTGGCAGCTTATAAAGGGCCTTGAAAGAGGCCGAGTGGCTGCTGGCAGCCATTCCGAAGAAGGCACAACAGAATGATTTATTTTTCTGAGTCGAATAAAATCGAAAATCGCTCACCGGATGAGGCAGGTTGGCTCAGACGAATCGCCAGGTGCCGTGGCAAGGAGAGGGGCGGCCGCCACTGGCACTGTACGCGCTACAGTGCTCCCCACAATGCTCTCTATAGTGCTTGCTACAGTGCCCGCTGCTGCGGCTGTGTATGCGGCATCTGGCAGCTGCTCCTCGTCGCTTCCTTGCTCCCAGTCTTCCCAGAGGCCTGGTGCTGTGCTAGAGGCGCCACCAAAGTGATCGCCAAACAGCTGAAACATATTAGGGTTTGGGGGGCCACGGCACGATGGAAACAGGAAAACATACATCGAATTAAGGAGAGGAAAGGAAACTTCACAAGGGCACGGCAAACAGAGACACTCACCAGGAGCTTGAGAATGTGCAGGGCGCTCATGTAGCACTTCCGCCTCGTGCTGTCATCCGCTGCACGCGGCAGTGCTTGGCTCTGAAAGACTGACATGAGGGCACTGCGCACAGAACGAGGATGAGGGGAGGGTACAGGAGATAATATTTTTTTCCCGCTCAATATTCGAGGCAGGGCTTGGCTCTGAAAGACTGACATGAGGGCACTGCGGAAGGATGCAGGCGGGATGGAGAGGGGGGAAGAGGGAGAAGAGAGTGTGGCCAATTAGTAAGGGGGGCGACATGGGCACTGCGGAAGGATGAGAACGAGGGGGGCGTTCCGAAGGAGAGAGGGAGAGGAGGTCGGGTGTTGTTGACAAGAGAGAAAAGTACCGGTGTGGTTTTTGGAGGAGTGTAGGAGCGGACGGTAGAGAGCAAAGAGAAGTAGAAGCAGGCCGGGACGTGTACACCTATAAACCAATCAGACTACACATGCCCTGAAATGCTGCGTAATCCCTAGGGGATCAAGGGCAATCCCAAGGCAATGTCCAATTGGTGGGTTGGAGATTGCTTGGTGATCACATTTGGGTTTGGTTGGGATGTGGGTGTGTGTACACCCAACCAAACACAGAGTGCAATCTACACTACGCTAGGATATAAACGTACAAGTACAGAAGTTGAGATCGAGGTCTAGCTCAAGTACAAGTACAAAAGTTGAGATCGAGGTCTAGCTCTAACAGATCATGCATTCATTTGGGCAGACAACATGATTTGAAAGGTCACCTGAAACCATTGGACTGGAGAAAGCTCGCTCGGAAGCGAATGGTGGCAGGCGAGGGCTGGCGGTTGACAGGCAGCAATAGCCCGTCCAGCACCTGGTGGTGGGTGGGATGCATGGAGGCACATGGGTAGACGCATACGGCAGACAGATGGATGACAGCATGGGTCATTAGGTGGTGGCAGGCGAGGGCTGGCGGTTGACAGGCAGCAATAGCCCGTCCAGCACCTGGTGGTGGGTGGTGGGATGCATCATGCATGGAGGCACATGGGCACAAGGGGCAGATGGGATGGGTGGATGGAAAGATGATGGAATGGGGCGCTGGATGCATGGGAGAATTATGGGTAACGGATGGGAGCTTGGAACAGTGAGCAAGAAACGAAGTATGATGATTACCTGCAGCAGCGTGTCTGGCCATTGCTCTAAACCCTGAAACCCCACCCCAATCACCTGCAGTAGCGTGCCTGGCAGTCGCGCTAAACCCTTAAACCCCAAAACCGCTACACCCTCAAACAAGGAAATCCTAATCACCTGCAGCGTATAAACAAGGCGCGGCGAGGGGCGCAGGAGATGCGTCAGAATGGTTGCAGCCTCGGCTGCTGATGGCGCTGACTGGATGCTCTGCAGGGGGAGTCACAGTCAGTCAGGTGTGAGGGAGAGAACACGAAAGAGGTAGACGACGAGAGAGTATGAGATCTAGGGCGGGTGCAGGGAGAGGGTACATAGGAGAGACAGGTCATTGTGACCAGGTGTATGTGTGCTGTGGTGATGCATGCGGCTGTCCATGACACATAGGCCTATGCGGATGCAGGTGTAGTAGCGACCTGGGCAGAATCAGAACCGGCCGACCAAGAATTCAATTTTCACAACTGCGCGCGACAAGAGATAAAGAGCTCCTGCGAATCACGACTACAAAATGATTCTCAAACACTGACAAGGATTGAACACACGTGTGCGTGCGACTGACTGACTGACCACGAAATCGTCAAGAATGGCGCGGTGTGTGGGCAGCAGCATGAGGAGCTCGTCCGCTGCCTGATGTGCAGAGAGGCAGGGGAGAGGGATGGGAAGCAGGGGAAGGAAGTGGGGTGGCTTTAAACATGAGCATCGTTTTGGATACTAACTCGAATACATTGCGTTTTGAATTCAGTCAGGTCTTGGTCGAGTCGAGTCAACACACAGCCTGCTCTACTCCGTTCACATTTGAAAAATGTTCAAGCGGCACAAGGCAGACGAACCTGCTGCACTTGATGGTTGGCAGACTGAAGCAGTCGGAAGAGAGTACCGTACACCTGCCAGCCACGCAAGGAAACAGTTCCCAACTCAGGAAATTCCAGCCGGTTTTTTCGTCAATTGAAAGTCGAATCGGCTAAAAAAGCAGCTGGAAGGGAGTGCCGTACACCTGCCATGCAGGGAGACGATTCCCCAACAACAAACAACAGAGCCGGCGGGCTGGTTCAATCATTCAAGAGCCAATTAATCACAAGATCAAACATCTTTGAATGAAGGCGTGAGGGAAGAAAAGTGACATTGAACATGAAACAACAAGGATTATCACAAGCTTGGGAACCCTCGTCCGCCCCGCAGCCCTGCCACTCCGCTCTCCCCTTCCCCTCTCCTCGCTCAGATCCATCCTCCTTCCTTCCGCCGACCCCATTCCCCGCAAACCCAAACCCACCTCCCCCTGTCGTGCCATGAGCACTCCCGGAAGCTCTGCCTCCCCTCCCTCCCCTTGCTGCCTGCTGCGAGGCCGGGGATTCAGCTGGAAAGAGAGGAGAGGAGGCATGGGGGGAGGCATCGGAAAGGAGAGGAGCAAGGGTGAAGGACAAGGAGCAGAAGGAAACGAAGATAGAAGGCATGCAATCACATTTAAGAGCACCTCCGTTACAGTCACACACGGACCATGGCAGAAGGCAATCCTCTAGGCAGCTCAGGAATAGCCTAAGAGGGCATCCGTTACAGTCACACACCTACAATCATTGTAACTGAACCACACACCATGACAGAAGCAATGAGTCGCCGCCCGTCCGCGATCCCGCATTGCCGGAGCACGAGCCAATCAGAGAGCAGCTCGTGACCATCCAATAGCAGCCGCACACGCGCCAAGTCACACTCGAGCTTGTGGGCCACCTGGCAAGTCAAGGCAGGTCAACGCAAGTCAGGGCAATAGTTTCAGCAAGCTGAGAGAAAGAGGGGCAACAGGAAAAGAACAGTGCAAACGGTTCCATCAAAATAATATATATATATACATATATATACATATATATAGATATATATACATATATATACATATATATTAAAAATATTAAACAAACAGACGTTTATGTATGCACATGTATGTTGTAACCCACCTTGAGTCGCAGCAAGCGCAGGTACTCGTTTGCATGCGTGTGAACGAAGAAGTTCACGTGCTTGCTGTGTGCCACTGTCACCTGCTTGATGGCAGGGATGGGATGCGGTGGGATGGAATGGGATGGAATGTGATGGGATGGGGTGGGGCTTAAACAAGCTTAATATGCTTGCTGTGCGCCACTGTCAACTGCTCGCCCAAAGTTTTCAGAAAACAAGAACAATTCAGAAACGCAGGACCGTTAACAAGGGATCTGAAAGCAGCATGCGTATCAAATAAAGAACGGAAGCTACCACTCTTGTTACACGAGTCTGCGTATGTGCTCACATGCGCACATGCGCACACACACAAATACACTGACGTATCTCCTGTTACTGCACTACCGACATTTCAAAGTCATCACCAAGAACTCAACAAAATAATCTCACACCTCCACCTGAAACGGCCTGCCTCGGATCTCACCTGCACCTGAAACGGCCTGCCTCAAAACTCATCTCCACCTGAAAAGCCCTGCCTCAGAATTAACCTCCACCTGAAACAACCTGCCTCATATCTGACCTCCACTTGAGACGGCCTCACTCAGATCTCATCTCACCTCCACCTGAAACGGCCTGCCTCAGATCTCACCTCCACCTGAAACGGCCTGCCTCAGATCTCACCTCCACCTGAAACGGCCTGCCTCGGATCTCACCTCCACCTGAAACGGCCTGCCTCGGATCTCACCTCCACCTGAAACGGCCTGCCTCGGATCTCACCTCCACCTGAAACGGCCTGCCTCGGATCTCACCTCCACCTGAAACGGCCTGCCTCGGATCTCACCTCCACCTGAAACGGCCTGCCTCGGATCTCACCTCCACCTGAAACGGCCTGCCTCGGATCTCACCTCCACTTGAAACGGCCTGCCTCGGATCTCTCCTCCACCTGAAACGGCCTGCCTCAGATCTCACCTCCACCTGAAACGGCCTGCCTCAGATCTCACCTCCACCTGAAACGGCCTGCCTCGGATCTCACCTCCACCTGAAACGGCCTGCCTCAGATCTCACCTCCACCTGAAACGGCCTGCCTCGGATCTCACCTCCACCTGAAACGGCCTGCCCTGGTAGGAGGCACCATGGGGCGGCACTTTGCGCGGGCAGGAGGCCTCACAGCGCGTGAGGAATTGCTGGGAGGGGAAGTGGGGGAGAGGGGCATGGGGCATGGAGGAGGTGATGATGCAATGGGAGGAGAACAGTGGTTCTGACCGCCTGCCTGATAGAATGTACCATGAGTGGACCTCTTGGTAGAAGAGCAGTGCATGTGGTCCGGTCCGAGATGTAACTTGTGCGTGAGCATGTGTATGAAAGGTGTGTCTTTTCTTGCACACTTGCGAGTTGTTCAGCCATTCTAACTTACCCAACGCAACGTTTGCTGCCCTCGCACTTAGTGTCAAGAGCAAGAGGCAGTGTGTGCCTTGAGATGTCTCAAGACGAACTTACTGTCAAGAGCAAGAGACAGCGTTGTGCTTGCTCCTCTGCTGACGCCTGCCCTTCCAAACTGCTGCCACCCTTGCTGCCCCTGCCACCCTTACCACCCCTGCCTTCGCCATTCATCTCCCCACTCCCTGCGACCCCGCCCTCCCTCTCCTTCTCCCTCGCTTCCAAGCCACCCTCGTCCTCCTGTCCGGCCATTGCCACATCACCACCCCCATCCCTTGCATCACCCGTCCTCTCCCCACCATCACTCTCCTCCGCACTCGTTTCCATGGGCAGAGCATCCCTCCCAGTTGGTGGCGTCACTCCTCCTGCGCTTCTCCCTTCCACGGTCACGTTATGCCCCCCCAACGTCTGCCCGTTATGCCCCGCACTTGTCCCTCCCTCCAGCTGCTGCATCGCAGCAGCCAGGCGCCGCATGCACTCGCCTATGAAGCTCTGCCGCACCGCTACCAGCTTGGCCTGGAGAATAGGAGAAGTTGGGCAGGAAGGAAGGGGTAAGGGGAAAGTGGGGTTGGTGGGGAGGAAGGGAGGGGAGAGCATGCACTCGCCTATGAAGCTCTGCCGCACCGCCACCAGCTTGGCCTGATGGGGGTGAAGTGGGGGCGGTAGAGACAGGGGGTTGGGAAGTAGGGAAGGAGAGGGGGCAATAGGTTGATGATGCACACGTCATTTGCTACCACTGCCAGCAGCAAGGCGCCGCATGCACTCGCTTATGAGGCTCTGCCGCACCGCCACTAGCTTGGCCTGAAGAATAGAAGAAGTTGGGCAGGAAGGAACGGGGGAAGGGGGGTTTGGAGGGGAGGAAGGGAGGAAGGGAGGAAGGGAGGAAGGGAGGAAGGGAGGAAGGGAGGAAGGGAGGAAGGGAGGAAGGGAGGAAGGGAGGAAGGGAGGAAGGGAGGAAGGGAGGAAGGGAGGAAGGGAGGAAGGGAGGAAGGGAGGAAGGGAGGAAGGGAGGGAGGGAGGAAGGGAGGAAGGGAGGAAGGGAGGAAGGGAGGAAGGGAGGAAGGGAGGAAGGGAGGAAGGGAGGAAGGGAGGAAGGGAGGAAGGGAGGAAGGGAGGAAGGGAGGAAGGGAGGAAGGGAGGAAGGGAGGAAGGGAGGAAGGGAGGAAGGGAGGAAGGGAGGAAGGGAGGAAGGGAGGAAGGGAGGAAGGGAGGAAGGGAGGAAGGGAGGAAGGGAGGAAGGGAGGAAGGGAGGAAGGGAGGGAGAGCATGCACTCGCCTATGAAGCTCTGCCGCACCGCCACCATGCGCATGACAAGGTCTGCTCTGCAGTACCATGAAGAGCACAAGGGATCAATGCACTACTCATGCTGTCCCTCTGGTGACACCTGTTGCACAAGGCTTGAATGTAGCTCCCTGAGCAGCTGGATGCTCAGCTGGATGCTCAGCTGGAGGCTGATAGATGGCGGCAGCGGGGCAGCGGGGCAGCACACGGAGCCATACCCTAGGGCGTGGGGCAGAGGGCAGCACCCTTTTCTGCGGCGACAAGGGACGAGTGCCGGTCCCTGAGCAGCTGAATGCAGGGCGGCCAGATGGCAGGGGAGGGGCAGCAGAAAGGCAGCACAAGAAGCCCTGTGGCCCCTACCTACCTTTTCTGGAGTGACAAGGGACGAGTGTAGGTCCCTAAGTTGCTGGATGCAGGGCTGCCAGGTGGCAGGGGAGGGGCAGCGCAGGGCCAGCGACCACACGAGCTCCACTCCCCTCACCTCGCACACACCCCCCGCCACTGCCACATGCACGCCCTCTCTCGCGACACTGCGGCACCTACCTTTTCTGGGGCGACAAGCGAGGAGTGCAGGTCCCTTAATAGCTGGATGCAGGGTTGCCAGATGGCGGGGGAGGGGCAGCGCAGAGCCAGCAACCACACGAGCTCCACTCCCTTCAGCCCGCCCACATCCCCCGCCACTGCCACCTGCACGCCCTCCCCTGCTGCTGCTCCCCCTGCTACTGCTCCTGCTCCCACTGGGAGTGCTGCTGCTGGTGCCAGCAATCCTCCTGGTGCTGGTGTTGCTCCCGGTGGTGCTGGGGTGACTGCGAGCACGCCTGATGCTGTGTTGACGCTGATGAAAATACGATGGAACAGCCTGGTGAGGAGAGAAGGTGCGAGAGAATGAGAAAGGGAAACCAACGGGGAAATGAACAGAGGAAGGGGTGAGTTAGTGGGAGAGGGCGAGGGGCAGAACGGAGGGAGAGGAACAGGGTTGATGGGATAGTAGTAAAAAATAAGTTCTGAAGGGATAGTAGGGTTGGGGAAAAAAGGTGAGGGATTAGTTTGAACTTTAAAGGGATGGGGCTGCTTAAGGTTAAAGGACGAGGCTGAGGGGACGCAACCTCCAACCTACAGTAGTTCACGGCATTGGCAAGCCCACCCACCTCCAAGCCACAGGCGAGAACTGCTCCGGAGGCAGCTGCGTCAACCAATCCAAGAGCGCCACCTGTCCCGTCGAGCTCACGGCCCCTCCCACCACCCCGACCCCTGTGCCCACACTCCCCACCTCCCCTATCCGCCCACCCCCCTCTCCTCTCCACTCCCCCCCCTCCCTCCCCTCCACTGCGTCAGACAGCCACGTCAGCGCCAGCTGGCGGTCATCAGGGCATGCTGGGTGCTCCACTAACTCGGTCCAAATCACCCGCAGCCCCTCTGGCTGTAGCTCCATGCCGCCTGCCTGCAGGATGGTAGAGGTTTAGGGTGTAGAAAGGGGTTTGGAATGGTGTGCTGAGAAATCAGGCACGGGTCCTTGACGAGCTGGGAAGACATGCTGGGTGTTCCACTAACTCGGTCCAAATCACCCCAGCCCCTCTGTCTGTAGCTCCATGCTGCCTGCCAGGAGGTTGGTAAGGGTTAAAGAAGGGTTTAGAAAGGGTTAAAGAGGGGTTTGAGAAAGGTTCAGAAGGGGTTTGAACAGGGGTTTGTGAGGGCTTTAACAGGGGTTTACGAAGGGTTCAGGAAGGATGCTGAGAAGGCGGGTGTGGTGTGGTGTGGGTGCTCCACTACCTCAGTCCATATCACCCACAGCCCCTCTAACTGTAGCTCCATTCCATGCCACTCAAGGTCTGGAAATTAAGGTTTTAAGAATCAAAGCGGGGTTTAGGAAGAGTGGTGTGTTGAGAAAGCAGGCGCGGGAGCTTGAGGCGTCACATAGGAAGGAAGGGATGCGGCGCACTCAGTCCACCCATGTTGGGAAGAATGTGCGGCAACAAAAGGGCAAAAAAGGGAGGAGAAGAAGAAACAACTCTAGAGCGACGAAAGGATGACGAAAAGAAGAGGGGGAGCAAGCAAGCACCTGGAGCGCCCAGAGGAGGAAGGAGAGGCGGGCGGTGATGTTGTCGCGGTGGGAGTGTCTGCCATCCACCAACGTGCACTGCTCCAACTGCCGCTGCAGCTGCACGTGCTGCTGCTGCTGCTGCTGCTGCTGCTGCCCTTGCTCCTTCTGCTCCTGCTGCAGCCGCTGCCTCTGCTGCCCTTGCTGCTGCTGCCCTTGCGGTTCATCACAGTCCATAGTGGGCAACGATCGCTCTGCCGTCGTATCCCCACCGCTGCATTCCTGCCTCACCTCCTCCTCCTCCTCCTCCTGCTCCACCACGCCATGCATGGGACTGCCGTCACTGCTGGGTAAGACGCTGGCATCTGAAACTGGTAGTGGGCTGCTGCTGCTGCTGGGTGGAACGGGGCTGACTGGAAGAGGTTTGCTTGGAGCAGTCATGGGCTGTGGTTGGTGGGGGGAGGCAGAGCGTGCGGAGGCGAACAGGGAGCGGGCCAGACCCTTGTAGGTCTGCAGACTGCCCAGTACCTGATGGAAGGGTTTATTGGGGTGTGTGGGGGGAGTTGGGGGAGGGGGAAGGGAAGAAGGCAGGAGAGGAGAGAGGAAGCTTTGAAAAAACTCTGAAAACACCAACAATAAGTGGAGCGACAGAACTTTGGATTGAGCCAAAAGTTATCATGGGAGGTAGGAGGTGTGCAGGCTTTTGAGGTGCCTCAAAGGTTTAGAATCCTCAGAAACCACTTGGAGGTGTGTAGGCTGCCCAGAGCTTGTTACGAGGAGGGAGTAGAAGAGCTGCAGGGAAGGAAAGCGGAACGGAGACGTGCATAGGAAAGGGTGTTGCCATCCCATACATATGCTGCGCTATGCTGTGCTGTGTTCATTCTGCTAAAGGCATACCATACCATGTTACTTACATGGTACTCCCACCACCACGTTACAGGGTCACCTAGTGTCGCACCTCAAAACATAATATGTTACACGGTCTGCTTGCACCACCATGTTACAAAATTACGTGGTGCAACGCACCTCATCCAACATCAGCACTCATCAGCACTCCGTGTTACGAGCGCTAGCTAGCTAGGATGAGTGAGTATATGCACACGGAATAGCACAATCTTACAGTGTACTCGAGCTCATGGTTTGTATTCAATGACTGGAGCTGCGCCTGCAGCATCTGCTGCTCCTGCAACACCCAGTACATTCAAACAGAGATGGCAAGATGAGATGTATTTGCGGCACCTCAGATTAACACTGGCATCGCAGGATGCTCTAGCATGCCACACAAAGACCAGCACAATGTCACGTGTGCCATGCGCAATGATCTTCACTTTTGAGGCGCCTCAAAAGACCAGCACAATGTCTGTCATGTGTGCTGTGCACAATATTCTTCACTTTTGCGGCGCCTTAAAAGACCAGCACAATGCCATGTGTGCCGCACTAGATTGGCACACATGACATTTCGCACAATCTCGTGCGAAACCAAAACACGGAAATGTTTTTTAGTCGACTAAAAAACGAGCCGTGGCCCGTGCGTGCACAATCTCGTGCGAAACCAAAACACGAAAACAATGGGCAAAGAAGGGAGCGGGATGGAAGGAGCAGGGAGGGCAGGTGGAGAAGGGGGGGGAGAAGAAGGATGGTAGAGTTAGAAGAGGGGGGGAAGAGCGGGTGCATAAAGTGGGAGGGAGCAGAGAAGCATCTTGGTGGGTGGAATGCTGTTGGGGTAGGTCGAGAATTGATTTCTCGCAGATATAGAAAGGGGAAAGTGAAGGTCTAAGGAGGAGGGAGAGAGAAGTGAAGCACCTCAGCGAGTGGAGCGCTGTTGGAGTACAGAGCAAGGTTCAAAAATACGGTTTTCGTAAAAAACGGTCCGTTTTTTACGGTAATTTTCCAAAAAAACTGCGTTTTTTTGTTAGAGAACTGTTGTCCCCAACAAAAAAAGGGAAAAACAAGGTCGAATACATTTTCAATCATGCCCACAAGCACACACATGCAAGGAGGGGTTCGTCCTCTTCATCCTGGTACCTTTCGCCATCAATTTGGTCCCAGAAATCGGCCGATTTTTTCTTCAAACGAAACCACCGTCTGGAACCTTTTTAACCGTTTTTTACGGTCGTTTTTTACTGCCGTTTTTTACGGTAAATTTTCAAAAAAACGACGTTTTTTTAAACCTTGGTACAGAGCAATGGTCATCCGCAAATATAGAAAACGGAAATGCAGGAGTGCAAAGGTGTGAGAGCGGCACCTCGGCAGGTGGAGCGTGTTCGAGTGAGGTGCAGAGAGACAATCTCTTGAATATACAGAACCGTAAACGAAGGAGTGCAAGGTGGTGAGAGCAGCACCTCAGCAGGTGGAGCGGGGTTGGGTTGCAAAGAGATGATCTCCCGCAGCAGCTGCAGGGCTGGAATGACACTCTCCTCCCGCGAGATGGCCTGCAGACAGCGCTGCATGTACTCCTGAGAAGGGGAGAAAAGGGAGAGATTTTGAGGCAGGTTTTCAAGCAAAGCCTACATACCACAAAAGGAAATAAATAAATAAATATTTAAAAACAAAAACAAAAAAAACAAAAAACATCAGAGACAAAGTCTCACCTCTTTATTAGCACACCCAACAGAAGCATAGTGGCCGAGCACCTCCGTGAGGGCCTTTGATTCAAGCACGTTCACTGACGCAACATCTGCTGCTGCTGCCAACGCTGCTGCCGAAGCTGGTGCTGACGCTGCTGATGCTGAAGCTGATCCAGTTGAGACTGCATGTGTGTGGGGTGGGTCGAACACGAGCGTCCAGAGCAGCTGGAGCAGCCTGCAGGGAGGGTGAAATGGGACGCGGCCTAGAGATGAACCTAAGACCACTTAGGGCGTATCTCTGGTTCCGGTCATGAGCACTGTTCCGGGCATGCGCGATTTGCGGATGACCCAAACAACATAAAACGCCACTTTGGGTTTAGGGAACGCATGCGACCCCCAAATTGCCGCGTAGGTTTTTGCGCCAAAATCACGCCCGCCACGGCAGTCGCGTCCAATGGAGGGTTGCCAAAACAGTTCGACAGATGATTAGCGACAACACCCACGCAAGACCACGCGACACCCACCGAACAAAACACAATCGTAATAATTCCCGGCCTACCGTAATAAGGGTACATTCCTGCGGGGACACTTGTGTCTCAATCCCCGATTTCCCGAGTCGCGCCTGTAAATTTGCCAAATGTTGTGTCACAAACAACCAATGTATCGCGACTCTAGGCGACCAGGCGAGATGTACAGTTGTGCGCATTTGTTTGGGTGACACAAATGACTGTACGTCCCTTTTTTCAACCGCTTGGCTGGGGTGTGGTTTCGACGAGCGGGATTTTTTCCCGCACGAAATTGGCATTGCAGGCTGTCCAGGTGCATTGACATTTCGAGCCGCGTGCGAATTTTTAACATTGACGAGTCGGATTACAATTCGTCAGCGACGTCAGCGCGTTTCACGCTGACCAATAAAAAATACAGTAATGGTCGCGGAAATGCGACTCGCAATTGGGACACACTACAGTTTATGCTGTTTTTGTGTGTCACAAAGCGATTGAGACATTTGTGTCTCCACAGGAATGCACCCTAAGTCCCCAAATGTTGGGAGGGCGACGCGGGAAATGTCAGGCACATCGAGGTTAGGGGGGTCAATTTGCCGAGTGGTTGGGTGCAGAGGTGTAGGGCGTGGGACATTGCCCACTTGTGACACTCGACTGACGACCGCCTAAGAGATGGCAGTAAAACCAGAATCGTACGATCAGGTGATTGGTTGGGCCTGGGTCGTGCACGTCAGTCGCCCAACACCTGCACACTGACCCAAAGCTGGGGCTGCGCGCGGCTCGGCAGCCCACTTCGGGTCATGCGCAATTTCCGGATGCCCGGAACAGTGCTCATGACCCGAACCCTGAGATACGCCCTTACATCTCAAAACTGCATCCCGGAAAGACCTGGACCAAAAAGAAGAGAGCTTTCTAAATAATTTTCCAGACAATGCTGAACCTACAATGCTCCGGCTGGAGTTTCACGCACTCAGCTCAGCTGCATGTGATACTCTGTGGAATGACAAGAAAGGAAAGTACGGTAATAAACCAAGGACACACCTGCACCTAACGAAACTGGAGTTACCCTACAGACCTAACGTTTAAAGTATAGAACTGCAGAGACCAGTTCAGGAGTTCACTCCTTGTGCTTCTTGCATTCCTTAAAGCCAGGATCTCAAGTAGTTCAATTGTTTTGCAGTTGGTGAGGGGAGATGGGCTGCGATTGGTTAGCGAGGTGAACAATCTGACGAGGTGTAAAGCGAGGGGTGCGAAGTAAAGACAAATCGCAAGTTCAGTCCGAACCAAGCAAGGCTCGGAAACTGGTTCGGTGACGAAGCTCCAATGCCTGCAATTTCTCTTCACACACAACAATCTCATGTACCAGCAAAATGTTTTGCATTTGCTCTAGGGGCAAAATCGTGGGTGTGCCGCACGCTCACTTTCCTAACCAGCCAGTCAATTCGCCTACAAAAATAGGGTAACAAGCGCTGCAAGTGTTTTGCAATTGAAGGCCAATTCTCTTACTTGAGATCCTGGCTTTAACACATACGCGCTCGCCCTCCAAGTTCCCACCCTAATCCTGTGCGAGCTACACCACGCCTCCCCGCATCATGCGCGACTGGACCATCACATTCGTCATCGTGGTCGACATGTCCGCCAGCTCAGCAGCCAGCGTGCGCTTCTTCTCCCCACCGGACATATCCGGATCCGTCATGCATGTGTTCGCTACCGATATAAAGTCCTCCGACATTCTAGGCCGGCGTGGGCTATCACCTCCTAGCCTCTCCTCCCCCTCCTCGTTGTCCTCTTCGCCGTCAGCCCCTGTGTGGGATTCGGGCCCCTCTCTACCGCCTCTGCTGCTATCTCCTGGCGCCTGGTTGCTCCGCGATTTGCGGTTGGAGCGAATGACGGGCGGGCCTAGATCCAGCTCCGCGGCTCCGTCACAACCGTCGTGAATCTGCCAGGGAAGGGATAGGTAAGGGATTTGCACGAGAGAAGAGGTTGGCAGGAGAGTGAGCCCGAGATGTGCAAGCTGCATGCGGCACGAATCGTGCGTGCGGCACGGATCGTGCGTGCTATGTGGATGGTGCGTGCGACACGGATCGTGTATGCTACGTGAATGGTGTTTGCGACATGGATGGTGCGTGCGACATGGATGGCGTGTTCAGACAGAGTGCGACAGAGTCTGGACAATCGTATCACCTCAAACTCTCGGAAATCAAGATTTCGTGGCCCTGGAAAGCCCGCAAAGTGCAGCACAGTTTCGCAGGCGACCTGAAGCGGGCTTCGAGATTCTCTTTCAGCTTAAAGAACGTGTTTTCTACTACTAGTCACGTCTTGACGTGTACCACAGAACGCGTCGTGACTAGATACCATATGAACGATCCTA